TTTACTGAGTAGTTGTCAACTATCAGAACACAAACCCAAATATGCTCCAAATGGGTTGCAACCAGAAGCTAGCACCATAACATTCCAGCTTGTCGACCTTTGCACTGCTAACCCAATTTTAATGAGAATGATAGAAAATGCATCTATAGCAAAACTCCTGCAGACAATTTGCATTCATCATGTTAGACACTGGGCTGATGATGCAGAAGCTGCAATCGCGTTGTGTTTGGACTGTGTAGATGTGGTTATAAATGTGTCCAATCCAACAGCTGCCCTGCAAGATACTCCCGGTGAATATTTTTTAAGGAGCAATTGTTCTGCCTTGCCTTACATGGACTTTTTCAGATGTGAGGCAGTAAATTTGGAGCAGCAGCTGTGGCCAAATTCCTGAAAGATTCCCTTCTCCTATTTCCCTTTCTCTCCCCCCAAAAGTTTAGATGGTGAATGCCCCTGGGAGCTAAATATCTTTAGACAGTTTGAGGACAAAGCCATTGTCATGAGCATCTCCTGACAAGTTTCAGTCCCTCTGTTATTCTTTTTGTAGCAAAGCATCATCAGGAAAAGCTCTATCTCGTCATCTTAGCTCAGCTGGCAAAAGCTAACCAATAATAAGAACATTTCAACATAGCTTTCCAGATAGAGCTTTTCTTTCTTTCTCTTAGAGAAATTATTAAACAAAGATTTGATGAAACAAAACCTGCAAATGCTAAAAATAGCATTTGAGCCCATGCTAAAGATACAAGTTGATTAATTACTGACTTCATTTTGGTTATTTGCTTGTTCCTCAGGACAAGGTGAATCCTGCTTGTTTCCAGCCATGTCCCACTAGGACCACAATTCATTTCCCTTTCTCCTTTTTCAACTATTTCTGGAGCTCCAGGAAAGCACAGGGCAAGTACAGGTTTCACATTGGCAACCACATCTCTCCATCTCCAATTCTTTCCATTTCTCTTAACTATGCAAGCTTCACTTTATAGTATTTACCTTCTCCTGACATCAGGTCTACATTTTTCAACTTGTTTTATAGTGTTTACTCGTCAGCTATCATCCCCTAAAACTTCTTGGAGCAGGAGAAGTTTAGAGCATGCTGGAGTGTCTTTTGGAGCTGTGTATTCCTTGTTATCTGCACTCCCCATTGCTGAAATTTAACATTCTTACTCTTCAGGTCTGGGGCTTAATTTCTGTTTTGTTTTGTTTGCATTATTTTAAATCACAAGCAATCCCAATAAATTAATTGGGAATCATGAGTGAAAAAAAAAAAGGGTATAGGAATGAAGAGAATCACATCCTTTTGCTGTTTAAAGTATAGCATTCCCAGTGGGTAAATATCCTGTAGTACCACTGTGGAAGAGCAAATATATGAAAAACTACTTAGTACCAATAATGATACTAATGCAGTTAAAACATTAATCTTGCTGCAGCTGTTGTCAAACCTGTCACAGGGCTTTAAGGTGGTTCCTTGCAGCTCCTCGGGAGAAAAAAGCACACGCATTTCTGAGTACTTGGTACGGTCTTAAGAAGAGGAAACTGGATCCGGGGCATTTTTCATTTAGATATACAGAAAGACATGTGCTTCCTCCCCAGGATTCTTGTAGGCTGCTCTCATCTGCACAGTATCTGTGAGAGCTTGGACAAACCCAGGGCTGGAGGCTAGGAGGAGCAGGTGGTGGGAGCTGCTGGGGACACTAAGCTGTAGGATTTTGTCAGGATGTTTGCAGAAAATGGGAAAAAGTCCCATGAGAAGTGACCTCTAGTTTCTTACAGAATGCTCGGGTGCTGCTGGGAGCAGCAACAGACATGTCCTGTTGAACTGCTACCTCTAATCCTTCCAGCTTGTGTTGTTTCCACACACAAACACCCTCCCTCCCCTGAGAATACTTTTTTTGGGGGGGGTTGATCAACACTCATCAAAACCTTCCCCATGTGCATCATTTGCAACCCTCCCAGCCCAGTCTTTTAGAATCAGCTAAATTGCAGCTCTAACTAAAAAAAAAAAAAAAAAAAAAAAAAGAAAAAAAAAAAGGAAAAAGAGGGAAGGGGGGGGATAGGGGGGAAGAAACTACAGTTGATGTCATGGTATCCAGAATTGGAGAAGTTGCACGTAAGTGATGTCAGCAATTGGAATTTTATTTTAATGACTTCAGATTTTGGTCTGGCTGCAAGGATGAGGTAACCCATGTCAGAAGATGGTCAAAACTGCAAACCTGAATGCCAAGGAAGGAGTAGATGAACACAACAGACATCTGCAGGCATGAGCTGAAGCCCTGCAGCTGATTGTTGTCTTGTCACTGTGTGGGGAGCCTTTGCTGAGCTTTTGCTGTATCTCACTGTGCCTTTATTTGCACAAAGTTCTGGCCAGATTCTTGGCACCATGCCGGCAGACTGGTCCTATTTCTATTTGTTGATAGATCTCTCTTATATCCGATACCTTGATTAACGTACATTGATTTCTCCTGTTTCTGCTCGGTGGAAAGGGTACTCTTAGCAGCAGCCTGGGAAGTGCTTTCCATAGGAGGGGTTACTGCACTGCATTTAAAGGCCTAAGCACATACAGCTTTGAATGTGCCCTAAGCACAACGTATATTTTCAGGACTTGCTTTTCCCTGCCACTTAGTGGCTTTAAATGGCAAAATATTTTTGCAAAGACAAATTGCTCTGCAGGTACTGTGCTGAGCTTCTGGAAAGACTCCAGATGCAGTGAGGGATTCAGAGCGACTCCCTGAACCCCAGTCAAGAAGGAGAGGTGACCCTGAGTGCTAATTTTACACATACGAAAATTAGAGGAGTGTGAAATATTGCCAACAAATCGCAGCACTGTTTCAAATTCAAGGTGGTCACGCTATTGAAGAGCACAGAGGGCTGGTTTACAGCACCTTGGCTCTCCTAGGATTAGACCTTCTGTTCTTTTTGGTTTAAATGCAGAAAAATTAAGACCATTTTTCAATATGCATGGCCTATTTCTGAACAGAAAACAGCTAAAATAGGACCATTTTTCAACAAATATCTTCTTCTGTGCTAGTATGATAAATATAGGAATAAATCTGTGGTGCTGCCTCAGGACAAGCAGTTATTTTCAACCTTACATTACAGCAGACTTGGAGATGCATCTTTGTCTGCCCCTGGCCTGTTTTTCCCAGTGATCATCTCCAGAGCGTTCAGTTTGTGAAGATGTAGGTGGTGCCAGCAGTGGCACAATCTTGCCTCTTTTCCGGACAATAGAAAACCCGTGTTTGTTCTCCAGCTGCTCTTAGTGGGACAATGTTGGTACCGGGTAGTTCGCACTGGGAACTAAGTTCCCTCTTCTCCTATCGAGTACCTGTTTCAAACTTCCCTCAGTTCACAGTAAAAGTTTTTTTTTTTTTTTAACCCTTTTTTTCTCCAGATTTGGTAGGGAATCTAGTTCTCTACATATGGGTTCAACATGAATGCTATTTATTGAAATCAGCAGCTCTATACGGTTAGGTAAGAAGTTGCTTTTCAAGGCCCTGGGTGGCTCTAAACATTATTAAACGTGGTCATTAGAACATGCTTTTCCAACCATTGAATGGTTGCGAACATTAAATATTTTGTTTTAATAAGTGCTTGCTTTTTCAGCTGCTGCATGGCCTTAATCTTTTTTTTTTTTCCTCATTAAAAAATGTTGATTTTCCAGCTCATGAGCCACTGAAAATACTGTTCTGTTTTTTTTCTTCCTCTCCCTCGGTTTTTTTTTTTTTTTTTTTTTTTTTTTTTTTTTACATTTACTGATCAGTTTATTTTTATTTAAAAAGAAGAGTGAGGATTTTGGAGCCTTTGGCTAAAATAACTTGTTTTCAGCTACTAGGACAAGTATAGGGCAAGGCTTAGGATAACATAAAATCAAACCTGGCTTGTGTGAACAAGTTCCATTGAGATAAGAACATGCAAACTATCCAAACATCAGCAGATTGTCTTCTCTGTGTGCTTTGAAAAGACTGATGAATCACACTGCTGCATGCCAGTTTTCCCACCTGCCAATCAAGCATGTCCTATTGTGACATCTGAATAGACTCACAGGGCAAAATATGAAGCAATGCTAGGGTCAGAAGCGAAGCATGTGTGTTTTTTGGACTCAGAATGAAGATGAGAAGTTTGACTTACATTTTATTTTCCTTATTTTTTATATAAAGAAGACCATGTTATGTAGGAAGAAAGGTAAATAGGAAGAAAGGTCTTTAGTTAAAACATCAGACTGGAAAATTCTGCTGTAGGCTCATTGCATGGCCACGAGCAAGTCATTTGTGCCATGACTGTCGCATAACTGTAGACTTCACAAACTATTTGGGATGCTCTTGATGCCTGGCCCCCAGATACTCTTCCAGGATGGAAGAGGTCTCCTGTAGGGCCCACATAACATCTGTTAGTACCATGAAGCCTTGGGGAGTGCATCTGGAGTGGCATTTGACTTTAGACGAATGGATTACAGTCTTCGTTGTCTTCATTTTCCTAGGACAGTAAATCTTAGGAATTTGCTAAAGACAGAGGATTCCCCTTATGATGTCTGCTACCGTTTCTGCTGCCATGGGGCTTTGATTGTTGTGGTTGTTGTGATGGAGGAGGAGACATCCGTAGCACAGAAGGCGGTTGACAAGAAGTGACCAGCATCTTGCTCAGCTGAGAAGCCTTCCTTGGGGAGTCCAAAAGCGGCAGCTTTCCCCTGTGGCTGGGGCATTTGGCTTTTTGCAGCTTCTAAATCACCCACTTGGAATGCACTGTGCATCAGCCTGGAAGGGAGTCAAACCGTTTTATGAAAGCTGCAATTAGTGGCTTCCCACAAATAGCATCTAGCACTGACAAGTGGCTGCTCTGTAATGCTGTTTATGGGCTTGTTTCAGGTAATGGAATTTCATTGCCTTTCAGGTGCTCTCGCCACAGGAAGCACATATATTTTTTCAGCTCTGTGATTTTTTCCACTAAATTGCACAAATCATTATGTTTGGGCAAGTGCATTGGAAACATTTTACTCTGCATTTATTTTGCAGCTCAAGTCCTTCATGAAAGGAAGAACAAATATGTTCTGGGAGGCAAACAACGGAGGTGAGAAAGAGGAGGGAGAGCAGAGGGGAAACAAACCGCATCTTCACCTATAGTAAGTCTCAGTACCTGCACTGACTGGGTGTATCTGTGCTGATTGGTGTTGGGTGATGAATATATCCAAAATTTTCCCCTTTCTCCACTGTGCTAGCTCCTGGTATCCACTACCTAAAGCCATGTTATGGTCTCCTGGACACACATGTGTCTTCCTTGGGAGACCAGACTGCCAAGTGATGTGGTAGAGTTTCCTGACTCTTCTCCTGCATAGTTAAGTGCAATTGTCTTTGTAGGAACAGAGCAAATCAAGCGGAGAGTTCAAATGATCTCTTTAGCTTTATGGGATGATTATGTTGTATTGAATGTGGGAACAGAAGGTAAAAGCGAGTCGCATTGGTTCTGGTTGGCTTGTGCAGTTTGAAAATTTACCCAGGATGAAACTCGAAATCCAGCAACCCTCAGGACCTCTCCGTGTGGTCCATGCTCAGCAGAGTCCTGCTGGGCTGGCTGCACTGGCATTTTGTAGGAAAAAGTATCCCACATGAATAGCAGTGAAAAGAAAGCCTGTGAGACGAGATCACTTACGCTGAGCCTGTTAGGTCACGGTTAGGCATAAAGAGCATTTGTAAGGAAAGCTGAGCACCAAACTGCATAGCGTCCTCTTTTGTTCATGAGTCTTGCTGAAATCATAAGCCTCAAAGGGAACAGAAGGCCATGAACCCAAGGAACAGGTGAATCAAAGGCAATGTAGTTGCTTCAAGGGGGAAATTTGAAATCAAGGTTGCAGAAAAACAGGACTCTTAATGGGATAATGCAGGTAATACTATCACGCAGCAATGAAACAATACAGGACTAATTAGCTCAAATATTTGCTGACAATGTGGGTTTTGAGGAGAGGGGGGCATGGGCTTTCATAAAACTTAATTAACCCATAGAGTAAATCCGTTTCATTCATTGCCACAACAGAGCCAATCAAGATAGGCTTACTGTTTGCTCATTTGGAAAGCGATTAGGATTCCCATTTAGACTTAATTACAGTGCAAAGGTTGACAATTATCATCTTTGTGGAAGCACTGGATGCCACAATATCTCAGTTGAACATGTGCCTATAATTATGCACATCATTTTCTTAGCAGAAAATGTAACCCACTCATTACCTGGGTTTCATGCCTGTAATTAGAGATAGTCGTAATAAAAAAATTGAAGAAGTGGGATGGTGCTGAATTGTTTTGGATCTTTCCATAGCAAATTACTTCGTGCAACTGTTTGTCACAAATTAAAATCTCAGTTTGTCCTTGATACTCTTCATGGAAGGAAATTTGTGGCCGTGCAAAGGACTCAAACCAGCCAAACAGGTCATTTTTTGACACCACTAAAAATCCTGTTGCCTCAGCCTGGTCTGGTCCATAAACCCTCCCTTACAGCTCCCAGAAGTTTCTTGTGTTACACAGACATACTTATCACCCAAGTCATTGCTGAAGCAAACCATTGAGAAGAAACTTAGAAAATCACAGCTTGAGCTGAACCAAAAGATTTAGCCTGTTGACCAAAATAAACTACATTATTCTTAAAGTCTGCAAGAAGTGCTCGACTACAAACATGCTTAATACAGCCAAAGCCAAATGATAAGCAGGTTTAGATTCCTCCCATTCGCCACCCTCAATCCTTCCAGGCAACCATTTCAACCCCTTGCATCCAGTGGCTGTACCACAAGTGTTTCAGTTCAGATAAGAGAAAAGGCAAGCTCAAAGTATTTGAAAGATATTAATTACAGATAAGGCAGAAGGTAAGATGAGGCTGTAAAAAACCCAAGCTTGCTTCAGTCGGATTTGTTGCTGTCTCTGGGCCTCTTTTTATCCCACTGGCTTGTAAAGAAGTAGTGGGTATAGAGCATCAACATTTCAGTGTAGCACTGGAATCTAAACAGATATCACAGCCTCATAACAAAGTTTATTTAGCACCTTCCCTTATTTTCAATCTGAAAGCCGGGGTGAGTGAGGTGGCTGAATGCAGGGCTCTGACATTCTTCTCTTTGTTTCAGTCAGGACATGCCTGATCTTAGAATAACACCTGAGCTTCCTGGGGAGAATGGTACAAGGGATCTGGGGACTAGGACATCACTTTTTCCTTGAGTGGTGTTTTGGCTTCCTACCAACCAAAATGGTGAATTTGCCTCACGTGGTTCAAGCTTTGTAAGGGGTAGATAAGAAAGAAGAACAAAATTCTCTTGAAAAACACCATTTTCCTCCTGAAATGGTAAGTGTGCTGTTAGTTATAAAAGAGTCAGTGCAGCTTTTTATTAGGTCACATCATCCCTGGGCACCATGATCAACAGACAGTGTCAGCAGGACCTCAAGGAGCTCATTTCCATAGCTGGTTCCCGCAGAAAGGTGTCTGGGAGGCTGGTTTGTTGGTTCTCCAGAAATGCTCACTTGTGTTTTCATTCAGTTTTCTTCCTCAGTGTAAATTAAGGGGGGGGAAAGCATTGATCATTGTGTGTCCTTTTGAAAGCTTACTGTTCAGGTGCTTTTAATGTTGCCTGAATGCTAAGCATTCCATAAGGAGAAGAAAAGCAGTGATAGAAGCAATAAAATGAAAAAATAAGTCCTTACTTTTAAGCATTATAACTTTTATTATAAGCACTTTTATTATAAGCACTTTTAGGTGCTTATAATGCTGAAGAGCTTTGCTTTTGTTTAGTTTCTTATATATCTCATTCACAGGAGCTTTATTTAGCTATCTGCACCATGGAGCTTGCACGATATTATTGTGTTGCTTGATTTTTCCAAGCACCGACTCCAAGCTGGCTGGCAGCAAGAAGCTCCTTCAGATGGCCACAGAAAGACCTGCTCATTCATCAAAGCTCATTGCTGCTCGGTGGGACAGCAGGAGGACTTCCCCATGCCTTTTCAGATGGAAGCTCAGCACTGCAGCACCTCGATCACCCCAGACAAGTCAGGGCAGGGCAGCCATGCCCCAGCCACGGTTTGCAGCGCAGGATGGATGAGCTTTCCTTTGAACTGCTGAACTACAAATTCCCCTCCTGGCCAAGCAACCATGGCAGGTGGGACGAGGAGGGAAAAGAAAGAGTTGCTCAGCGAATAACGTACTGGTAGGTGTGTGTGTGTAGGTGGTGGGAGCAGCTGAGTTGCCAAACCCAGTTGGATTCGCTCCACTGAGCTGAGTGCAGCTGGGAAACCTGGCAGAGGCTGATGGCTGGGTACCTGGAAAAGCTCATTTGGAAGCTTCAGCTCCCCATAATTAAGTGATTAGTTGTGATGATCAGCCGTTTGGAGAAGTATGGTGCATTGAGAAATATTCTAAGTTGTTTTCAAGAGTAGGTAAAATAGTGAAGAGTGAGACATAGAGCCTAAGGAGAGAGGAACCCTTGTAACAGAAGGAGGAAGCAGGAAATGAAAGGAGCAGGGATTTGTTAGCAAACACCAGTCCAGGCCTATTCATTGTTTCATGCAGAACAAGTTGTGCCACTTCAGTGTTTATCCACTGCAACGAGTCCCAGGTAAGAAAACAAACAGGCACAGAAACTTGCTGGCACATGGGCACTCATTATCGGGAAGCAGAGATATGTGAAATTCTGGGTAGAAGCTGCACTGCTGTACGTGGTGCCTGCCTTTAGGGTAAGCAACATCAAAATACTACAGAAGGATATGTAAGGGTTCAAAAGACAAAGCTGTAGTGTGTGGTTATAAGTCACTGGCCCTAGGAAGATGGTAAAAAGATTGAGGAACAAAGAAACACACTTGACATAGCCTCCTGCAAGATCCACAGAGCCACATTTATGTCAAACTATTTGACATCAGAAATCTTGGGTAACATTTGCTTTCCTCCCTGATCCACCTTCAATAACACCTTTCTTTTCTTCTAAAGACGGTGACAAAAATGGTTTATGTCTGTCCCAGATAGCATCAGTCTGAACAACCCCTTTACATTTCTGAGTCAGTTTTGTAGATGAAAGAAGTTATGGATAGTCAAAAAGTTTTGAAGAGCACTTTGCTTTTTGTATCCTTACCTGAATTCAACCCATGAGAGATAGATGATTATTTTGTTTTTAACTTTGAAAAGGCTGTCAGCCTTTTAGCCATCTGTCTGGCAGTGGTAAACACTATGGAAAATCAAGTCCATTTTTTGTTACAACGCTTTCTGGAGGTTAAACCTGGAACAGAGCATACATGGTGTTTTAAATTGCAAAAATAAGTATCTGAGGCAGCTGTAGTGTTATACAAATGTATATGAAAACTGTTAGTTTATTATTGCCATCACTCTGAATATATAATGAAGTTGAGTGCCTTTTTCTGCCTTTGATCCTTCCAGCAGGTATTTCATACCAGAATTAATAGCTGTGCTATTCAAAGATAAGGGTAGCATTAGTGTGGTGGTGAAAACCTCTTTCATGGAAGCATGGCTGCGGTGACCAATAGAGGAGGTCCTGGATGCACACACCTCTGAGGCGTATGGGTGTTTGCATTAAGCAAGGATAAGATGCTCTGCCTGAGCTCATGCTAAGCCTCTCAGCAATATGACTGTAAAAATGGTTTAGAGAGAGCTTCAGGTACAGCTTATTTAAAAAATTCATCCAAGTACCCAGAACTAAGTAATCTACCTTTTGATACAGAACACACAATATTAGTGAGCTGGAGAGACAGAAAATTAAAGATGAAGTGGCCCAGATCACTTTGGCTTTGGGTTTTGGAGTGCCTTGCTTTGTAAAGAAGCTACAGAAATGAGTGTTTTCTGGATATGCTGAATATGCAGAGTATCTGAAAGTAAGAAAAGCCTGCTGCTTGTGGAACATATCCTTGGGAACCAATGCTAAGATGTCATGCAAAGTGAATCTGTCAGAAAAGATATGGAGCAGAACACAACTACCGAGCAGGTTTGGGATGTGCACATACCTCCTAGAGCCAGAAACTTTCAGTGCAGGACAGTCGGGGGCCTGTAGAACTCACCCAAGGATGTGATCCAAGGAGACGTGATGACCCAGCTCTACTTCCAGCTCACTGCCCTCCTCTGTGTGTGCATCGCAGTGGTGTGAGCTCTCAGGCTCAGACTGCAATGATCAATAACTTGTGTCCGAGACCTTCAAATTCTCCCTGCAGGAAAACTTGGAGGTGACCACTCTGAGTCACACCTGGTTTGCGAGTAGATATCTTCTTGTAGGGGTAAAATGAATGTCTGATTTGTTCAGTGAGGAAGTATGTTTTAAATCTCAGTGTAATCTGACTCCCCAGATCAGGAGAGATAGTGCATGGTTTTCAAGACAGAAATATATCCCATTCTTGAAGTGGTTGGGAGAAAGCAGCGATCTGTGTGGGAAAGCTGGAGAAATGGCGGGAGGGAAAAGAAAAATTACATGCATTAGTGGTTTATGCCTTCCAGACATTTACAAACTCTGGGTAATGCAACTCAGAGGGAATTTTAGTTATTCCAAGGAGGCTGCATGATTTAAGAGGACATAAGGGCTGCAGTTTTCTCTATGGTTTAAGCTACAAATAAAACTTCCACCAACCAGTTGAATATCTGGAAGGAATTTGGGGTTGCATTTTTAGGAGCAGAGACATTAATAAAGGACTGCTTTATTGCTTCGGTGACCTATCACCTCAGTATTGTCTGGCCCAGTGCTGTTCACTGTATGGAGGGGTTAATGCGTATAACATACCACAGCTTCCATAGGTTTAGGGAAAAAAAAGACAGTCCTGCAGTTGTTGCCCTCATGATGTTTTTTACACGTGCCATTGCTCACTCATTCCTTAGAGGCCATTCACCTGGTCTGTTCTCCCTTGCTGTCTGCCTTCCAGAGAGGGTTAAAACTGAAGTTCCAGTGGCCATCATCAGCCCATGACCTAATTAAATTAAAACTCTGTCATTTATTTGTCCCTTTAATAGTCTCCTACCTGTTTCGTTCAGTGATATCTTCCAGGCCTTGTCCTAAATAACTGATATATTATAAAAGGTTCTGGAGCTTTTCCTACTGTATTCCACATGCAGAAGTCTTTTTATTTAATACATATCATTATCCAGAATAAGTTCTCTTAGCACTTTTCTTAATAGTATGTCCTTTGTTTAGCTTTTTTTTCTCTTTTCCATTCCACTCCCTCCTTATATTTTCCATATTTATCATGTTCCAAAGTATTTCTCTGCTTGTTTTTTGACATCGAAAGATAAAACATATATCAATATCAAAAAAAATCTACAGTCTGCATTGTGATGAACAACAGATGAGAATGACAGTGGAAAAAAACACACAACATCAAACATTCTCTTTCTCCCATGTTGAAGGACATAAAAAAAAAAAAGAGGAAAAAATTGGAACTGGGATGAGAACTTCAGCCTACTGAGGGTTTAATTTTATCCTTATTTTATTAGGAAGGGGAAACAGAGGCACAATGACTTGCCCAAATGAGTCAGTCTTTCAGCCTAAACAGATGTGCTGGCATGAATCTGGCGTCTTTCAGAAATACCAAGATTCATTTTGATTGCAAAATACTTACTGAAGCGCGCTATCAGGGAACCTCAAAGGAGGATCATTTGGGAGCCAGTGGTTTGAGGCTGTTCTGAAGTAAGAAGTAGATAATACCCCATATTTCAATCAGACCACGAGCAAAGACCCTGAACAATCAAACTGAGCTCTTTTGCCCTCCATGCCATGCTTTATGTCTTCGTACAGCACTAGGAGAGTGTTTGAGCCAAGGGAAAATGGAGTCATCTAGCAGAGTTGAAGTAATGAGCAAGACTGAGAATAACCAGGCTTGGAATCATGGGCAGATTTCAACAGCTCTTTCTGATCCATCTACCAGAAAAATATCATCAAGATAATTTCATTCCTGTCACTCCAGGTGTAAAGTGATTTTAGCGATGATGGAAGCCTCCAAAGTGAGCATACTTGTGGTTTGCATCCTCACTTCTGTCCTCAGGAAAGCTAAGCAAGGGCAACGGGCTCGCGGCTGGGGTTGTGGTTGGGTTCATGATTGAAGTCCTCCCTCTCCGCTGGCTCTGCATGGTCTCACTGTCCTTAGCACTCTTTGCAATGGGAATGTAATACGGAGAATTGGAGAGAGTTCCTAACCCTGAATTGCAGGAGAGAAGAGAAGCATTGCTGTGTCAGGTATTGAGGATTGTTGAGCACAGCTCCATTTGCACTACCTGCACTTAAGCAAGCAGGAAGCAAATGTATTCTGTGCAGCACCAGAAAGCAACATAAAACTTTTCAGCTTGCATAACTTCAAAACACACCGGAAGCGGCTTAGCCAAGGCAGCAGAGAAATCAATACAGGCTGCTAAATTAACCTCAGGAGCGGAGCGAGCGGTGGGTCATGGCCCCATCATCATCATCTGCTGCTGCCTCGTGAGCTCTGCAAGGAGAGCTGCCCGCTCCCTGCCTGCTCAGGTGCTGTACCACGCTCCTGGGGACCGCAGCATGCGACGCGCCACCACAGGAGCTCTCTGAGAGGGCTTCTGGCCCTCCTTAGGTAGGAGTCAGAGCCCGAATGCATTTTATATCCTAGCAAGATCACACAAAGAATCTGTGGTGCTATGAATAAAATATGAGGCATACCGAGGATAGTCTACAGGATCTATTTGAGCAGCTTGTTCTGATTTTCTTACAGATAAGGTTGCGGTTTTTATCTGAACAATTTGAAAATCAGCTTGTTAAATATTTTCATTATTTATTTATTTTTAAGGAGGGGGTGGGAGAATCTACATTGTAGATATTTTCATTGTGAACGTTTTCTGAAAAATGCCTTGCAAAACATGTTTCTATAAAGCCAGCGTGGGGCTTAGGATGCTCCGACAGTAGCCAAAGCAAGCAGCAAAACATATGAAAGCCTCCAGACTGCTTCCAGGGTTTTGTTCCACTGCCAAAAGCTGAGACGTAGGCTCACAGCATGAGGCAGCAAACTTTTCTGGCTTTATGTGCGTGCACATGAGGTGAATTTAACATGAGAGGCTCTTATGCACCCCCCACTTCTCCCCTTCTATTCCTCCCTCAAGATCTTGGTTTAACAAGTAAGACAAATAATATGGAAGTAATTCTGGATCTGGTGATGCTAAAGGCAGATGAAACAACTTTGCCAGTCACAGCACATATTTATCAAGACATCTGTGCTTGTAAACCTTTTGGAAAGAGCAGCTTCATTGTGGTTCATAGAGCTGCTTCCATCCTGGGCTTGTGGCTGGCTGGGCGTTGGGAGAGCTCTGATATTTTGTGTTCCTTGTAGGGCTTTGCAGAACATAGGGTCAAGATGTCAGTAGGATGCATGATTTTTACCCAGGAGGAGCTGGATGGGTACAGATGTTTTCCTGGATTTTAGTACCAGAGGTGTTTTTTTTTTTTTTTTTTTTTTTAGAGGATGTTTAGAGTCAGAGCAATGGCTTGGTTCAGTCAGCTCTGGAGAGGGGTTGTTGTCATCTCTCATTTAAGAAAAACCCTATGATTTCAGGATGGTTGCTCTTCATGCAGGAGCAGTGACAGGTTTTTTTTGTCCTAGCAGAAATGATATCCTAGAGGCTCCTTCATATATATTTCTGCCTCTCAAAGAACTGAGGTCTGTATCTCACTGGTGGGGCATCATGTCCTATAAGAAACAGGTGAGTCCCAACATCACAGGACAACCTTTCTTAACCTCCCTTTCAGCATGCCTGTTTCCCTGAGATCCTCCGGAGTTAATGGCTGTTAATTGTCTGCAGGGTAGGGAAATCAGCTACGACTCCTGGCTGCAAGGTTTAGTCACTTAGATATCATCATTGGCACCAGGAGCCTGACAGCAATTACAGGTTGTTAGCCACTGATGGGTGAGTATAAAGCCCTGCAGGCAGCGGTTTTAGCTTGTGTTTTTGATCCTTAGGGACACTTTAAGGGATGCTGTCTTGGAGCAGCTGTGAGAGGTCCCCTTAGCAAATCCTGCTTCCCAACTCACACAAGGGCTGGAGATACCCAGAGGTTGTGGAGCGTGTTTTGAGGATGACCTTCAAGAAGCCTATTGAGCAGGTATGTGTGTCTGCCAGCAAATGTGAAATCCCCAAATTCATCCGGGTGGAGGTAGAGCCTCTCAGGGGGAAATTTCGATCACCCATGTGTAATTTTCTCATAGGCAGGTGTCAACACTTATAAATCCTGTGGGTTCAGTTTCAAATTAATGGTGAAAGTTTTGCCCCTGTTTATTTTGCATCACTTAAAAAGAGTTGAATCGCTCCTTAGAAGGTTGTCAGCCCTGATTAAATCAACTTTTAGGAATCATCAGGGAGGATCCTGGTATAAACGGGTACTTGAAAATCTTCGTTTCAACTGTTTTCTTCTCCAGTTTCAATCAGACCTTAAAACAAGCAGACAGCAGTGCTCTGTCATCTGGTCTCCTTCACTTAAATGGGTCATAAGAGTTTATTAGATGATTAAGCGATTCCTGGGGGATTATCTGGGGCATGGCTTCAGTGGATTTCCTATGCTTCTGCAGAAGTGGGATCAGGTTATATAAGTAGGAGATGGTGAGTGGTTTGGGCTGGTAGGGGCCTCAGGGTGGCTCTCTGTGGCCAGCCTGGGGGCAAGGGAAGAAGGGGAAAGTAGCGCAGAGGTGCCAGTCACCAGAGCAAGAGATGAGAGCTGGCTGATGTTCCTTGCTTCAGGCCAAGGGGTGACAGCAGAGCCAGCCAGCTTTGCCCATAAGCCAGACAAGGCTTCAGGTTTCCATAACAGTCAAACTAAGCTGACTCAGTCACTCTGAAAGCTTGGCAAGTGTAGCAACAACTCCAACTCCTGTAAAACACAGATTATTCTCCTGCTCCCCAGCGTAGTTCTCCGCTACATAAGCAAAAGCATCAGCACCCGAGTTATCTGGTACCCCAGGTTTCTTTTTGCCTAAAGCTTGAGCTCATTTTTGCTTTTGACTCTTCAGCTTGTTGTGCCAGGCTTTACAAAACTTGAGGAAACAGGCAGAGTTTAGTCCTCTTTGCTTTGCAATTATATCAGAAGGTCCTGTGCCTCTTACCCTAGCCATCTCCAGACCCTACTTCCTAACTCCCCCCTTTTTCTGCTCCTGAACAAAGGGCCACAGATAGAGATCACAACCTAGAGCCAGAAGAAGCTGTCTTCCTAACGTGTTCATGCATGTAGAATATTTCCCAGAAGCAAATGCATTTTTCTAGTCTCAGGACTTTGCTTTGTGCATTAAGATCGCACCTTGAGCAATAGAAATTCACTGCCAGCTTTCTCCTTTGCTATGTACAAATTCTGCATATCAAAAGTATCAGGGACAGGATTCAACTGTATGAAATTGATTTATTAGAACTTCTGAACCCAGGTCTTATTCACATGATACTGCAGGTGAGTAGCATGGTTTAGCTGTAGGATCACATCACTGAAGGGAATTTCACTGCCTCAATGTCTAAACAGAGTCAGAGATGAGAAGAAATATTTTAAATAACCAATGCCAAAGTGCGGATGTACTGATTTATTTTTTTTTTTCAAGATTTTTCAAGCATCAAACACATTCTTGGTTCTGTTTGATCAGCTTTGAAACTTACTGTTTAATATTTAGAATTTTCAGGTGTTCAAAGCTTATCTTTTTAAAAGATTTATTATGGTTAGTGCTCAGAGCCATTCTGTCCTGCAACTATTGAAACAACCCTCCTGTTTTCATGTTGTATTTGTATTTTTGTGTGGTACCCAAAGGATACTGAAACTACCAAACTGAGGTGAGTGATACACAAATTGAGTGAGCCATCAAGCTGCAAAGACTTTTATATTACCAATATATTTCAGATGCAAAATGCTTACCGTTCATTCTCCTTTCTTGCTGCATGACACAACACTCAATACCTCATCACATTCTCTGTTAGATTTGCTTTTGATTAAAATAGGCTTAGCTCTGTGCTACTGTTGCTATATGCATTCGTAAATTAAATCAGTGGAGATGCATAGATGTCTATATGCTGATATAAAAGAAGAATAATTGAGCATCATGAATTTCAGCAGCCCAGGGCTTTTGTTTGCTTGCTTTGCTGAGTAAGCTACTCGGACGACTGGTTCTGATCATAGGATTTCAGCTCTGCAACCTTGAAGCAAATAACAAATGGTGCAGTTAAACTTCTTTTAAAACTGGCATGAGTCAGACTGGCATGAATACAGTCTGCTGAATCATACTTTCTCTGTCTTTGTATTCATATCCATTAAAAGCAGATAAAAGGAATCTTTCAAAAAAGGATAAAGGAAAGATGCCACATGAAGAAGATGCAGGTGATAACGATATCTTAAGACGGTTCTTTTTCATTTTATTTTATTTTTTTTTTATTAAGTGCAAAGTATTGAATTGGTCAGTGAGGGAATGGGACAGGCAAAACTGTGGATTCTGGTGGAATTGAGCCAGAAGAAAATCAAATGTATGAAGTACCCGTATGGACTGCCTAAAGCTGATCTACCAGTCTGTATGTAATTTTGCTAGTGGGCAAGAACTAGGTCAATTGAGTGGATTTTAAGCCCTGCCCACTCTGAAAAAAAATAAAATTGTGGGTCTCCGTGTGTGTGTATAGATGTATTCACTCAATGCTACTTATTCATGGAATCATTCTGTGAACAACCTGAAGCCTTCAGCAGCAATCAGTTATTTATGAAGGTAATAAATGGACATAACTGTTTATTCATTGCAGGTACGCCTGTGTCTGGAGGAGACGGAGGGCAATTTTCAAATTTCATCCACATGATGGATGTGGAAGGGAAGCTATGGGATATGAGGACACCCAACCAGAAACAAGCTGCCTTTTTGTTGTTAATAGCCAGGAAGTCTCTGTGGTGCAGATGTGACAGCAACAGCAAAACCTATTTCGAGGTCCTGTCCCATGAAGTAGCTGTGAGTATCAGCAACCACACAAAAGAGCTAGCAGGGGGCCGGGGAGGAGAGACTCTTGAAAATCACAAACGTCATCTATCTGTCCTGGTGGAACGTGGTAATTATTTGTGGATCCCATTGCCTCAACCCCATCAAAGTAAAAGCACAGCACTGCTATCTATTGTTATTCTGTTTTGGTTTTTGTTTTTCAAACAATTCCAGCATGTTGGCTTATAGAATCCTTCAATTCTTAGAAAGCGTTGGTTTGGTTTGTTAGTTAGAGCCATGGCACAAAATGATGTGTGTGAGTGGCTGTGATGAGAGGGTTATTATAATCCTCGTCACCAGGGGAAGCAGCCTCAGCTTCACCTCCTGCTTCTTCCTCAGTTTCTTCCAACCTGGTAGGATGGCTTTGGCGATGGAGAGCACTGGGGTCTGCCCTGAGATGTCATGCCTAAGGGCGGCTCTGCTTGGGATGGGATCTTTTTTGAAGGGGTGTATGTGCTTGTTAGCTTTTTCACCTCATCTCATTGTAGGGAACAGATCAACCAAGGGTTCATTTAGGTTGGAAAAATAAGAGAGTCATCAACAGAGAAGAGAAGTTGCAGAATAACCCCTTAACATGACTAGTGATGACAACATCTGAACTGCTTTTAAGACTTTGATCAATAAATGAGTGAGATACCAGTGCTCAGGATCTCTAGAGATCTTAATTAGAATTAATAGCTTTACAAGAGAGTTTAAGCCTGATTAGTGTTGGAGACAATTTCACGGTACAGATCTTGGATATGATCTATGTTGTTGTCTTTTAGTAGAACAGCAGTGTGACTCTACTGATTTGTACTGCTGGAAAAGAAGAATGGGGCCAACACAGCTTCAGGATATTTTCAGTAATACCTTATTCAGTTTTTATAGAACCCTACTGGTTTCCTCCCTCTTAAACGCTAAGATTTTCTTCCATAAAGGGTTGCTTGGAAAGCTAAAAAGTATTCAGGAGGGAGGAGGTGGTGAAGCGGCCAAAGGTGTGTGATAAATTAATGTAATTACTCAGCTACACACTTTATCTTGGAGAGATCCCCTCTGCACGTGCTGGGAATGCATTAGTATGCAGTATTAATGTTAATATAGCATCAATATAAACAGAGATGGACACACACCAGCTGAGGCACGTACTGTTTCTAGACATGCTGCATTGCCACATCTGGCTCCATGCTGGCCAAATGGGGCTTTCATGCTATTTTTATTCCAGACTTTCCTTTCACAGGACATTTGTTCAGCTTCCCACTCCTTCTCTCTCCTCCTTTTCACCTCTGATTGCACTCCACATGTACTTGGGCATAACAATGAACATCCAAAATCACACTAGCAGGCCAGTTACAGAAGGAGAGAGAACTTTTTTCTTAAAAATCCTTTATTATGGGCTATTTGCTATTTTCTTACAACCACCCCCCCTCCCCTTTTTTTTTCTTATGAATCTGCAATTACTCCTCTGCCCAACCCTTTCTCCTGGCTGAAGGACTGCTTGGCTACTACAATCTGCTGAAACTGCTGTTGCTAAAATAACTGACCAGACTTCTTGTTCTGGCCCTGCCTTTGGGCCCTTCCTGTGGAGAGATCCTCAATGACAGCATTTTATTTTTTCTTTTAACACCTTATATGCCTTGGCCTGTTTAATCCATGCTCTTATCCTAGTCTTACCCGCTTATTCTTATTTTCTCCTTTATGCAACCTGGCAGTAACAAGTATTTGTCGCATTTGTGCAGGTCATACAGCTTTTTAAGGGAAAATTTAAAATAAATTTTCCAGGAGCAGAGGTGTGGCAGTTGTTTCTATTGCTCATCCATGCCTTTACACAAGTGTTTACCGCGAAGGACTTCTCTTTGTGAAGGAGATAATTACAGAAGGATCTGCAAACAAGGCCCATGGTTGTCACCTTCAATTATCTTCAGGCAATGAAAGTTAAAAACTGGAGGTGTGGTCTGAGAGACAGATCTACCACTCGTGATCGAGCAATTCTTTCTTGTGCTATGATTTCTCAGATGGGAGATAAACCCCAAAAATAAGTATTCCAGAACCCATGAGAATGAATATTTTCTTCCCCAAATAGACAGATAGCAGAAAGATCACAGCAAGATCATCTTTACAAATCTATCATAGAATTTTGTTCTACTTTTCTAAGCTGAAGTGTCAATTTTTTTATTTTTTATTTTTAAATGCAAGTCCTGGGCAGTATTCAGGAGGGTACCAAGAGTTGTTCAAAGTCCTCTTTCCTGCCCACCCTGACAATTGTGAGAAGGTGGCACCACATTTCTAAGAGGTTCTGCAAGGAGCCTCAACCCTTGCCTTGAGACTCTCCTGGGGAGAAGACCCAGTCTTTGTATTTATGCAGAATAAACATTAAATAAAAATAAAAACTAGAAAATATAAAAGGTATTTGCTCCCAGTGTGGAAACTTTCTAAAGTGGTTTTAATAGATTTTGTCTTGCTGACTGGCTTCCCCCATGGTATAGCAATAAGTAGTTATGAGCAAGTTACCAATGACATATTTCACTTTGAGGGGGCCTGTGATTCAATATATAAGCACAAGTCTATCTGCAGTGGACAATTTTAATAACCCTGGGTCTGCAAAGCATGCTTAATTAAAGTCAAATAGAAATTTCTATTCCTCTTTTTCAGGCTTCTTTTTCTCAAAGCAGTTCTGTAAATGTTCTTATGAAATATTATGAGACTGAATGATTTCAGATGAGAATTCCAAGCCAAAATTAGTTTCCCTGAAAATATTCTAAACAAAGTGTAGACTCAAATGTTTGATATTTCCTGTGATTCGCAGTAATTTAAGTAATTTATATAACAGTTTCTTCACAAATTAGTTTGAGGTAAACATTTATGGCCAAAAGCAAAGTCATAGGTCAAAACCAGCAGTGAATAATGGATGCAATATGCAATAGCATAATACATGGACATGCTTACACATAGGCTCCCTTGTAATAAAAATGAGTACTGCTCTGCCTCATACCTTCATGGCTTTAATAATCACTTTCAGATAGCAATTCTGTGAAAGTCCCGTAACATCTGGGTAGCCCCACATACCCATTGCAGATGCTGTTTCCACTCACTTGTGTTTTTATACACTTTAATAAGAACTTTACAAGTACTCAAACCTTGGAAGAAAATCTTTCTTTTTCCTTTAGTTTTAAAATAAACACCATTCAGTCACAGCAGCTTTAACTTTTGTTCCCTCTTGTTTTGTCTCTTGGTTAAAGCAACAATAATAAAAAAAATGTTATCTCAGGCATTTCCTGAATCAGTGCTAAATGAAACACAGCAATGAGTTTCTGTGGGCAGAGCTACGAGAAACAGAGAGGTGCCTTTACACTAGGTGCTGAATGTCTGTAGTTAAATGCATATTGTCTTTAGAGCACTCCCCGCCTGACTGGAAGCACATGCACTGGAAAGGACTTTGGAGAGATGTTTATAATTCAATCGGTGGTAAGACCATGACTGCACTTCTGTATCAGATTCCCAAATCATGGCAGATTCATTCAGCAGGGTAATTCAAAGACCATCTAGGCTTTGACGGTCGCACGGCCTACAGGAAGCAAGTGCGATATTAATGTTGTCAGCGGATGGTTCTGTGTGGGCCAGGCAGTACAGGAGCTTCTAAATCTTCTGCTGGGCTAAGAGCTGATCTCAGGGTACCCTCACCTTTTACAAGCCTGACTTTGTTCTCCACTCAGTGTCCATAGAGACTTTAGACAATATTGTACAAGAACTTAGCTAGTCACATTTTTATTAATTTTAAACACTATCATTCCTTCTCCTGATGTCCTTGTTCGAATTGCATGGGCAGAGATTGAGATAGCTGGAACTGTACTTTGTTGCAAACATTAGAACTACAGCAAGATTTCATTGCAGGTCGAACTGCTTTCTTTGTCACTTTGAGCTAGAAGCAGGGTGCTGAAGTGCAGTGGCTGCAAGGTTGCCAGAAGTACCGGTGTATTTATGGGGTCATCCAAACAGATGCACTCAAATTATAAGTAATAAGTGTTACTTATAATAAGTAATAATTGAGCACCTGGAAGAAATATGTCTTCCAAGTTCAAACATTCGATAATGTTTCCCTACAGGTGTAAGACTGCAAGGGATTTCCTGGCCCCAAAGGATGTAGGGTGAATTGATGAGTGTGAGTGGAATGTCCACATTAGATAAAGAAACAAAGTCTTGATGTTATATTGACTTCGTAAGCAACTTTTCACAAGAAAAAACAAACAAGTATTTCTGTAGAACACTTGGCTGACACAAACAGTTCCGCACAAATCTATAGGGATAAGCGGGAAACCAAAGTTGGAAAATTTTGGCCCTTTTAATAGAGTAGCTTTACTGGGCTGCAGTAGCAGCACTTTTTGAGATGTTCTGTTTTAGCATACATTTGTCTATGTATTATAAGAAAGTTTTAAACAGTAGGATAACCACTGTATTCTGTAAATATTTGGTGAAGACAGGCAAGTCCTGAACCAGCGTTTTGGACTTTATTAGAAAATGGGACAATGGCCTTTCACTGGAAGGGATAGTGATAAATATGGAGACTTGAGGTTGGACTGGAAAGGTGGAAGATATGTTTTCTGTTTGTTCAATACTTTCATTATTTTCTGCCTCTCTTTTCCTCTCCCCCTCTTTTCTCTATTTTGACCACAAGTCTTTCTCAGCAGGAAGTGTCTTGCATGTTTTCTGGTTTGATGGAAATTCTGAGGACCACTGCAATGCAAATAAAGTAAAGCAACATTTGGTCCATGTTATGGCAAGAAGAGATTGAAAATGAAAGGGAAGATGTTAGGCTGGGGAGAACATCAGCAAGCATCAGATGAAGTTATCATCCAGGCTGGCTGTTAGCCAACTTGCTGCCAGCCCTGTTGGAGTCTGCCTTATGAAATGCCACTTCTAGTGAAGTCAGAACCTGCCTGTGAGCACTGCAGGGATTGAAATGAGAGAGCAGTGAGATGAGCTGCTCTTCCTAGGATTCACTGAAGCACACAGCCTCCTTTTAAGGTAAAGTTTTGGCAGACTGGTAAAATGATGTGATATGGACCTGCAGTATAAGGAAACCGGGCACGGTGTCCAAAGAAGTCCCACCCTATCCATTGTTCCTACCCCATTCTGCATATTTGAGTAGGAAAAATGATATTTGTAAGCATTAAAGCTCCAGTTTAAGTTTGGGTCAAAACTTGAATTCAGCTCATTTATTCAAAACGACCGCAAACAGAGAAAGAACATTTTTAACTGTTGCATACTGAACCCACTATATACTGTACTATAGTAGTGTAATTTGTTTCCTTTCATTCTCTGCAGACAAAGATTCCCTTGGTAAGCTATAACAAGTGAATAGGATAGTTTCTTTAAAATCTCTTTTCTTCCTTACTTCTCTCTTTATATTGCCTTTGGCATTTTTAAACCTTTAGAGACAGCTGCAGTTTCTTAACAGTTTTCCTGACAGTCTGCACTACTGAAGTAAGACTTTGAGCACACTGGCATCCAAATATGATATCCTATGCTGCCTGACTGATTAATTTTTAACCACCCTCATATCTCAGGAAAAGTAGGCAAACTGGAAATACACAGGTATTTTTCATGTTCTACTGTTGTACTGTGATAAATAGGAAGAGGGTAAATGGGCATCTTAAATCTAGACAGTAAATTTCATGCAGGCCAAAGCAAGATTTTTTATTTTCCCCACAGTCCCAAGGATTAGAATTGGAGGAGAAAAATAAAATAATAATAATAATAATAATGAAAGCTGAAAATGTTTCTATTAAGTCATTTTAACAGAAACTGGAAGAGATTTTTGCTGTTAAGTTTTGCTGTTTAGATTGAGGCTATGAGATTTGTTTAATTTAGAGGAGGATCTTGATACTTAATCCTCTATCAAATATGAAGACATGGAGTCAGGTCCTGTTTCAAATTCTCCCAATGTTGGTGTTCCAGTTTGCTCATTTTACCCACCCAGCAAGTTCACTACTCCAGCTTGTCTTTTTTCCCTCAAAGTTTTCTTGAGAATCATTTAAAGGTTTCATTTTTGTTCTGCTGTGGAATGAAAATCATCAAAATCTTGACATCTGGGGCTTTGGGGTTCCTCTTTTTTCCCCTTAATGGAATGAGATTGCTGGTTTTAGTCTGCCTCCATGTACTGGACTGACTCTCAATTCAAACTACCATTACTGTGAGAAAGATGATTTAGTTTGGGTATCAGTTCCCTGGGACCTGCAACCTGTCTGGCAAAGACATGTCATCAGGTAGGCTTCACCTCATTTAAATGCCATTATTCTAAGGACTTGCTCAATCTTTGTATCCTGAAGTGGGAGAGAGACTGCAGAGAATGGAAAGACGGATGGCAGGCTTGGATGAATGCCCCGGTTAGATTCTCTATATTAGATTGTCATGCTTTTCCTGGCCCAGATGCTAACATCTAACACATTTTTAATACTATTGCCTGTTGAGATCCTATTAGAAAATGATTCAGAGTCTGGAAAGTTACAGGGGGAGGGGGCAGGGAGAAGTTAATTCCCTAGGAATAATACAGTCATTATGTGTACACACAATCCAATATGTAACTTGGGTTTTTTATAGACTCTCTACCATTCTCTACACTAGCTTTTTAAAATTGCAGTCACACTCATTATGAAGTAAATGCCTAATGCAACTGATTCTCAAAACAGTTTGTAATTTACATTCATATTGGAAATAAAAGTAATGACCTGCGATAGCTTATTAGTGGCCTTGCAAATGTTCATTATTTCTTTTCTCTTTGTCTTTCTTCTGGTTTTCCACCCCCATGCTAAGAGACAGGGGAGCTTAAAGATTTAGACTACCTTTAGAGCTATCCATCTCTAATGACCCATGAAAATGCACATATGATTCCTGAATGAGGAAATCATCATCCCCTGGTGTTTAAAAGGGTATAAGTGTGTTCACTTAGCAATCCATGAGGAAGCTAGTTATTCCAGATACTTGTCAGGAATTACTTTATATTTACGCTCAGGAGATATATTTTTTTAATTGTTCTGAAATATCAGATCAAATACTGAGCAGGCCACATAGTCCCTGAAAAAGATACAGACACTTGGGAGTTTGAACACAAGTTGTTTCTAATGATATCCTGGGTACTGCTACACCACCACGGCAAAGGTTTATTTTGCTCCACCTTGCATGGAGATGCACAAGAGGGCTCCTGACCTCCCCATGCCCTAAGACAGCTTCCCCTTACAGCTGCTGCGTAGGCACCAAATGGCTCTCAGTAATTGGTGCGCATCAACATAGCCCACCTCCGTGGGCTTCTCTGCTGGCTGAAGACAACATAGCATCTGCCATGCAGATGATCCTTGGATTGCTGAGGGAAATGACGCAGGAGAGAGACAACATGGGGCTGCAGTGAATCTTTGCATTACTTCCTCCTGGGAGCAGGACTTCATGAACTGTGCTGCTCTCGGCTGGCGTTATCATTGCTCATCCTTAAAAATATGCTGCCTGAAGTCCTCAGGCCTCCAGCACTGCTCCCTGCTTGTCTTCTTTGTGGTGGCTCTTGCCACAGCATTGGCTGTTAGTGTGGTCTTACAAAATGCTTTCTCTGCCAAAAGCCTTACTGCAAAAGTTACATGGGATGAAGCCTCCCGTATCCCATGTGGCTTGAGCACACTCTGCTGTAGTGTGTTCTTAGAGGAAATGAATGTGAAAAAATCTGATTTATGCTTAGTTTCTCTCTACACAAGTGATTTTTCTTCCTCATTAGCCATCAAGACTTGTATACTGATTAGTGCTGGTAGGGGCAGGCCCTAATGCAAACCTCTTTAGAATAAAAAGTAGAACGTTGCTTGCCTGAAGTCTTTCATAAGTACTTACTAGAAATTTCACTGACTACTCTCTATGTATGCAAAGGGATTATTTTGGCAATATATGCATGAAACAAAACCTGGTCACATGCTTAAAAGCATTACCTATTGTTGGAATTTGGGCTATTCAGTCCAGCCATTAGATCACACCCAATAACTCTAAAAATTGATTTTTCCATCATAAGGTCAAATCACTTTTATGGAATTGCTTCAAGCAGGTTCCTACAAAGCACAATGCTCCTCTGTGAGCCACCAGCACCACGACTCTTAGCTGGCTTGCTGATACTTATATTAGGTCATCAAAAATGAGGTTTGACTGAGCTTGGACAAAACTAGCTCATTTGACCTGTCGGATTTCTTTTAAAAGAAGCAAGTCAAGGAATGCTTGTTTTCAGTCCTCTGATCTGCATTCTTGTCTAAACTCTGAAAGCACCCCTCTGTGACTGGTGAGACAAGGTGACCATGCTGGAAGCATCTTCTTCCCTCTGTGCTGGAAAGCAGCTGCTCTGAGCCCTGTCTTGTGTCTACTTCTCTCGGAAACAAAAGCTCAGTCCTTGGTTTCTCATATCTTGCATGTATTAAGTTGTTTTCTTTTTGAAAGTTTTAGCTCTATTCTTATTCAGATCTTAACACACTCATTGACTTCCCTCTTTCCATGTGTATTCTGGTGTGTCAGGAGTTAGCTTTGCCCACTGGGCTCTTGTCAGATGTGATGGTAACCTCCTCTTCCAAATTCCCCTTCAAAATGAGATCGTTCTCACTTTGTTCATTATAAACTGACTACACAGTACCACCTGCTGATGGACCAGCATCACAAACCTGGCTTTTATTATTGCTTTGTCAAAGGCTGAGTTGTCTGTGACAGCCTTGCTCCTTAGGAAGGGGCCTATGTAAGAGGTAGGAATGCTCTCGTGTTTGTGCAGCGCTGGAGACTCGCTCATCTGCTACCACTTAGCAGAAGGATAATGCTGTATCAGAAGGAAACTTGGGCTTTGGAAGAAAGAGTGAATAGTCTCCATTTCTCAGAGCCTAAAAGGGCAGGAAAAAATAGAACGTAAGCCAGCAGGCCTAAGGCTATTCTCATTTACATCAGAATCTGCATAGGCCATGTAGAAGGATAAAGACTAGTAATCATCTGAATCTACTTTTGTCACTCATCCCAAGGCTCAGGAATGAAGTATTTGAGTATCAAGGTCGTTATGTTTCATTAGTCTTCATTAACGTGAGAGCTGATCTTGGTCTGATCTCTTATTTCAAAAGCTGTTACCACAGAGGCACTAAGCTCCTTATCCTCCCCAAAACTCAGGAAGCAAGTTAGTGTAATCTCAAGTTAGGAAGCACATTTGCGCTTTTGCTATGAGACCCATTTAGTGAAGTATTGATTATAATTTTTCAGTTGATTCTGAACCTGACACTCACCCAGGAAAGTTCCAGTAACTTCTGGCCCAATAAAAGCTCACAGGATCTGCCCCTTCCTAGGAAACAAAATCAGTGGAATAGCAGCCAGATAACTGTCAAAGAGAAGCAGCACAAAGCCAAGAAAAAGAGGCGACAGAGCCAGAACTTGGTATTTTGCAAATCCAGATTCTCAGCTCCTTCAATTATCTATAGTGCAATTAAGAACAGTTAGCCCTATGTCCAATAAAACATTGTCGCTTTCAAGAACTTCCTTTCTCCCCAATTTGCATGGTTTTCTTTCTCTCCTCTCTCTTTTTTTTTTTTTTCTTTTTTTTCTTTTAAGATGTGAAATACTTTGGTGCATGGGTTTTGGTTTAGGAAGGCTTGCTTTTTTCTTTTCATTTCATCAGGACAGAGTTCCATTTGTTCAGCATCTGCACAGGACAACATCTGGAGCCTCAGGAAATTCAGCTGCTCTGTGTATGACGCTTAAATGAAATTACTTTTTCATGCACTTCAGAAGAGTATCAAGAGCATCTCTCTGACCAAACAGGGCCTTTTGTTCTCCTCCAGCAAGTGTTTCTCATTAAAAATGTCATCTCCCTAACAAATTGCTTCATTGCCTCTGCAGCTGGGGTTATTGTTTTCATGGTTTTGTACTTGTGTGATTCTCTAAGGGAGCAAAAAGCTAGGGGAAGCAGGGCTTGCTTTCTTCTCTATTTGCCCCATGCATGTCGTGCTTTGATTTGCCACTTTTGAGGCGGACTGCCATATATTTACCTCCTTACCTTCTGGAACCGCACAGCACTCCAGCTGCCTGCTCAAGGCTGCTCTAGGATGCCAGATCTGTCCATAGGCATCACAGTTTGTAGCAGCATGGGATTATCGGTGGTCCCGTCGACCTGCTGAGCTGCTCTTTGACCTTTGCATCTTGGATCTCTTGGGGCTGCTGTGCTTGCACAGCCACAGAGAGCAAGAGCAATGAAAAAGCAAAGTGAGAAGAGAGAAATAGCCATTTAAAGCTGGGATGTGAAAGATGATTTTTAAATGAGACAAATCTGCTCCTTTCTTAAGAACTGCAAGGTTTGGTATTTTCTCCATTTATTTTTCCTGAGGAGAGGATGCAGGGAAATTGGGGTTGCAAGAAAACCTAAATTACCCTTTGAGACTAGGGTAGTTTGTTGTGACTTTTCTTGAAAGGTCTGATCAGAAATTAACCCAGCAGCTGAGAAGAAACTGGAGGAGTTCCTCATGCCTTTGTTTCAAAGGGAGACAACAGTAGTCTGTACCTAATGTAACAGGCTCTGATAGAGCAGAGTACGTGCAGTCCCTTTTAAGAGCAAGCAACCCTGTAATAAACTTCACCTAGCAGCACAGACCTGAAGGAGCTGTACAATTTCAGTGAAGAACTGCTTAGAAAATGTCAAAACTTCAGAAAATATTCTGCAGGCAGAATGCCATTTAAACTCCAAACATAAAAACTCATTTTTCTCACCTCTCACTTTTCAACCTGGATTGCCTCCTTTGTCCATTTGAAAAACATGTGTTATTTTTATTTTATTTCTTATTTTTTCTCCAACTGAAGAGAGATATATGCCAAAATCCGAAAATCACAGAATACTTCAGGTTGAAAGAGACCTCTAGAGGTCATCTAGACCAGCCTTCACTCAAAGCATGGACAGCTTTGAAGTGTAATTTCAAACAGCAAGTTATAAATAATCTAGAGGCTACCTCTCACTTGCATAAATTTTCACTGCATGGTAACACACTACCTGATTAACCTGATCTCTTTTTTTTTTTTTTTTTTTTTTTTTTTTCAGGTGACTACAAATTGCTCCTTAATAATTTCATCTACCATATAAACTTGCTGGGTAAGAATTTTGTACAGGTTTATTTCTCACTTTCCTAGGGCTAGTCTTACAGTATTTGCAGTTGTCTTTTACTGGGAATGCAAGTTTTAAGCTTTTCAAATGTCAAGAACTACTGAGAAATAGTGGGAAAAACAATCAAACAAACAGAAAAACAAGCATCAGAAATCAGAATGTAAATAAACCCCCTCAGACTTATAATTCTCAAAAAAATCTCATTATTATTTAGACATGCTGATGATGCTTGGAGCTTGTTCTTGTTATTCCAATTTCGCCTTTGTTTATAAATGGGCGAGAATGGTTGCAAGATTTTCCTCTTTTGCTGACTGATTTCTTAATGGGCCAGTTTCTAGGTTTATTTCTCTATTTCATCTGGGACACAAGCAACCATTTAGCTCACAAACCACAACAGTTACCTTTGGCTGTCTCAGGCACAACTGATTTTGCCATGTCACCTCTCGTCCGCCCGTTCCAGTTCCACCCAAGGAAAAAAGTTCCCCTGTGTTAAATATAGCAGCCAGCCTTCCTGTGTGGCAGGTCCTTTTCAGGCTGCAGCAGGAACATTGGGCACCACACTGTGGAAAATAAGTATGTAGCAGTTGTAAATACAGGCATATATATTTATATATGTATAAAACGGTGCTAGAACCCACAGTCTATAATTTGTGGGTGACCTTTAACTACATGAGGATAAATGGTTACAAATGAGGACCTCTGGTCTTGGCTGTTGTAACCTATTTTCTTACTCCTGTTAGTAAATCAAAAAACATGTATATCTTTTTTTTTTTTTTTTTTTTTTTTTTTTTTTAATGTAACATTTGGCTTAGATTTAAACTGGGATAACTGAACAAAGTGGAAAACCAAACAAATAAATATGATTATCCTGCTATGTTTCGTTTCATGGAATCAGGTTCTGAAGTAGCCAAAGCCTGTGAGATACTTTAAGGCTGCGAGAAACATGCTATTCCCATAATGAAATCTACTCTCTGAATTAGGTCTTTGTGCTATTAGGAGCTTTTTCTTCTGTTTATTTTGCTACAAGATTGCATTTTTACTGGAACCAAATGGCATGTGAAAATTCTGATTTTCTGAGGCCCTTGAGTGATGGAGCTGGTGACGTGAAGGCCACTTCTTGCAGCACTAACTATAAACACAGGGCACATTCAGTCTCCAAGATCCAGGGTGCTCAAAGACATTAATTTTGATATTTACCATTAAGGGCTACATGTATATGTGATGGGGATGTGCACAGCAATTTGGGAATAGGACAAATAATTTTTTTTAATGGGTAAATCATTAAACAGCTACCCAGCGACAGTGACTGCTTGAGACCAAAATGTAGGCAAAAGTGGAAGGAGATGTAGCACCCCAAAAATACTAAGTGTGTTACCACCCCCCCATAGCCTTTCTCTTCCTATCTGTAATTAAATGTGCACATAAGAGCTTTTGCCATTGTATTTGTTGATCACTATGCAGAAAAATAAGTTTTAGCAGGCCTTCCACATTTTTTAAGGAGTCATTGGCCCTCTGGGCTCCTGATTTTTCCAGTGTAAGTTCAGTGGGTTAATTTCTTCTGGGACAGTCTCACATTGCTGCTAAGCTGTGGTCCATCTGTCTTTTGCTTTGAAGCTGAGATATTCTTGTCACAACAGAGAATAAATGTTAGGCTTCATGAATTCATCAACTTACTACCCACTTGTTTCAAGCTTTTCCTCAACAGAGGGAGCAAAATGAAAAATCCTAGCCGAAACAAAAGTAAAAACCCTGCTAGCCCAGCTGTATGCGGATTTCCTTTCTTTCATCTCTCTTTCATCCTTTCTCCATCTCCACTAAAACTCATTTAAAATCTCTGCTTCATCATCTGGGCTATACCATACACACTCAATCTCAAGGTCAGTCATTTATTTCCTATTTCCTTAGAGCACTTGCCCCAGTCAATCCCTGCCACATTTTATCTCCCTCTTACCAGCCTGACATTTAAGGATTTGTGGTTTGCTCCTATAAGCTCAGGAATGACTTTCCTGGGGTTTGCACACATTTCCTGACCCTATATATATGCAGTTAAAAAATATCACAGACTTCTCAACTCTTACCCGTCTTTTCTGCTTTCATTCTTACAGAGAAAGCTCTTCTTCAGCTAGCTATGGAACCTGGACGAAGACTGAAGTTATCTGCTCAGCTTTCCTGTAAAGAGAGCAAGGGTGAAGAAGGAAAAATAGAAATAAATCCATGTCCCACAGTCAAATTAGCCTTACATGGGAACCCTGGCTCAGTGGATCCCTGCAAGCCTGACATCTCTTTGACTTTAGTGCCTGCCAACTGGAAACCTTGTTTGGTGTGTTCCTGAGAGGAAATTTCACAGGGGGCAAGAAGGAAAGCACCCCTAGCATCATAGAAGAAGGGGTATGTAGGGAGCTAGACAGGATTACTAAAAGCAATGGGATTTTAGCTTGGTCCCAGCTGTACAATCACAACCACTGCCAAGAGAGACAGTAAAGCTTTAGGGAAAAGAATGGCTAAAGCAGTGATGATTTCTGAGATATCTAGAAAGATGTGCACACTGTGAATTGGGAAAGATAAGAAGGGGAAGAGAGTTACCAACATGAGTCTTAAGGCTTTGACTCTCAAGGAGAAACAAGCCTACAGAGCCAGGTTTGAGCTCCTTTTGGGCCCAGAGAGGAGATATGCTTGGAAAAGCCCTGGAGCATAGCGTTGAGATCAGAAGCAGCCGGCTTCTGATCCAAAGGCCCGTGAGAAGGACCTGTGATACACTCCAGATCCCAGTCTGTTAGTGCTGCTCTTAGAGCAGTTACCATTCTGCCTTTCTGCAAAGCCTCATGCACTGCATTAAACCCAAGGGCTCTTTACACAGCTAGGATACAGAAATTAATCTTTGCAAAGAGTCCCTTGTCTGTACACTCCCCAGTCTCACTTCATCTCCCGTGAAGGTTTAAGGAACTCTGCAGCTCCACAACCTCCTGAAATACTTCCCGTCAGAGCTTTCCTTGCTCTTATACTGATCTTCCTGATGGCTTATCCTTCTGGTTATCACAGTGATATAATATCTTTGTGTTCCTCACAGGAAAAAAAAATAAAAAAAAATCTGTCGGCAAAAACAAGGTTGGGATGTCTCTGGTTCTTGTCTTCTTTATGGCTAAAAAGATGTCTCTCTTTCAGATGTGGAGAGTTGGTGATGCTGTGAATGTCATCCTGCTTTTGATGGAAAAGGGGCAGGGTTTTTCAGTGTTTCCCAAAGGTGCTCTAAATGGATTTGTCTCATTTCCGCTGCAAGTTTGTCCCACAGCTGGATCTCTTCAGCTGGGAGACTTTGTCTCTGGTTTGTGCGCTCTTTATGCTGGGCTTTGTGATCTGCACTGTCACGAGGAGTGTAAATGTCCGCCCAGTGTGCAGATGGGAGGAGGTTTGAGGTGTACAGGGCACAGCACTAATGACCGAAGATTAGCTGTGAGGAGCTCAGTTAGGAAGAACAGGGGGGAGTCAGCAAAGGAGTGAGTCACATTTTACAGGCAGGGAGCCTTTGTCTTCATTTTGTATTTGCCCTGAGATACTGTGTCTGAGTCGCAGAGGCTGTACACAGCTCCATTACAGACATGTCTGGGGATTACAGGTGCCTTTCCTCTCAGTTATTGAAGCCGTGTCGTTTCTATTCTTTTGCTTTTAATATACCTTTCTCATGCAACATTCATTATTCTGGCTTTCATACCTAAATCCCGTTCCCTGAAGAGGTGGGAAATCTCATTTCCGGGAATTTGTGCCTGTCTTGGTGAATTCTTAAGAGCTCACCAAGATTAAGGGTGACTTTCTGCCCCCACCTCCTCCCTGTCAGTAAACCCAACACTCAAGCATGCGAGTTGCTCATGCAGAGCCATTCGGCATAAAATGGGCCACAGGCACTCAGCCTCATGGGACCTGCACTGACCTTCATTGGGGATGTTTTCATCCTTCCCCTTGGTGGCCTCAGCACTCTGTCTTGCTGTCCTGAGCAAGTTTATTCTGATATTATATCAGCTGGGGGGAAGCTAAACTGGATTCAGAGCTGCTTATTAAAAACTGCCTCTGTTATGCTCCGTTTTTCCTCCCCAGGCCCTGCCACCAGAAGCCCACCCCCAGCTGAGCCTGCCCCATCTCCATGCTGCCTGGCCCCACCTCATAGCTGGTTCCTTGTGCTTGGCAGCACACCTTGTTCTCAGAGGTGTTTCGGTTCCTGATGGGTAAGCGATTTGAGTCAGAGTTTGGTTTGGATAAGCTCCCATAAATTGTAACGCTTGACTGTAGGTTATCCAAACTATATGGGCCTCTCGAGACTCTAAATTGGCCTGGAAGATCCAAGCTTCTTTCTGAGATTTTGGCACTTCCTGATCCCAGAGAAGTTGCAAATAGCATGGCAACATGCTCTCGCACGAGAGGTCAGCATTTCTGCTTCTTGTTTCAGCTGGAGCCTGCAGAATGCGTGAGCAAGCAAACAAGCTTATTAGACCCAGTTATTCAGCCAGGAGGGAGCACGAGAGGGCTGTGAGGAGCTCTCTGGATGCCTGTGCCTATGACATGTATTGCCACGACCTGTAAGCTAACATTACATAGAGAAGGGGACTGGAGAGGATGTCTTTTGGCACACAAACTGCTTTGGCACTTGTCGCGGGGTAAGACTAGGTGGAGCAGTGATGCTACACCACAAAATATGGCCAATGGAGCTGGCTTTGTTCAAAAACAAACATAAAAACAACAAACCAAACCAGATGAAGCTGTGAATTTAGGATTGAACCAGATTTTTGCTTGCAAGCCAACCCCTCGTAACTATGTGTATACGAACAGCTGTAGAATCACGGCTAACGCAATATCCTGTCTGCAGCAAAAGTTTGTGGGGGGAGCAGAGGGAGAGAAGGAGAGCTGGATGTGAGCTGTCCCTTGGCAGAGCCTCCTGGGCTCCAGCATGCAGTAGTTCAGTGACTTCCAAGCCAAAAATCATGTCCAGATCATCGTATTTAATAGGCACCGATGAACCTATTCTCCCAGAATTTGTCTAGATCCTTTCTAAACATATTAACACTGGTTATTCATAATTATTAAGGCAGGAAGACTGATGTATGGTCAGAGGGAGAGAGGTCTACTCTTTTACAAATCTCTATAGAGACTTGTCTATTAATACAAACAAACAAAAAAAAAGCCAAAGATTTGGGTATGTTCTTCTGTAGTATAAACCACTTGTTCCTGTAACTGCAGTTGTGGATGGATTCCCTGCAAAGCATGGCAATGGGATATAGCTTATACCTGCACTGCCAAGTCTGGGAGACAAAGAGAGCAGGCGTCTGACCTGATGATGTAATTTATTTTCACCCACCTTTAAATGTGTTTTTCTTATGTCAGCCATAAGATAAATACAATTGTTTTGCCAAAAAGAGATGTTAAATGGGAGGGGAAAAAGAAAAAAAACACACACACAGAACCCAACGTTCGTGTTGCATTATAGCACATTCTTGAGAGCAATTCACAGTATTCTGGTGTTTTTACTTTAAATACTGCAACGCTACTTCTCTACAGCTACGGTCTGGTGTGCAGCCCTTCCTGCCCACATGGTATTACGCTTCTTGTGGACGTCATAAAAATATTGCTAAATCACAGCTGTCTTGCCAAACAACTGGCTCTTCCTTGCGCCAATTTTGTTCAGCCTCTGAAAAGCTACAGGACTTTTGCTGGGCCCCATTCAAACTTAAATGATGTTCTCAGTTACAAACACAAAATAAAATGCAGGTCACTAACAAAGCAGTTAGGTTTTGATTAACTCCTCTGTGAAAGAGTAAATAGGATTCTTCCTTTTTACTTCTGATTTTTTTTTTTTTTCATTCTTTAAGGGGAAAATGAAAAGACAGAATGAGAGACCTAAGTGGACACAACTAGAACAAAGCCCTGTTTATGATTAGTATGCCTGAAAATATCCATGTTAGGCCAGGTGCAGATGGCTAATTCCCTCAGACTACAAGCCAATTTAAACCATAATTCCTGAGATAGACCACTTTTCCCAACATTAATGGGAACCAGCTGCCTCCTATTAATAATATGGATGATTACAAAAAAAAAAAAAAAAAAAAAAAAAGTGGGGGAGGGAGTAGTGAAGTTAGGGAAGATATTATTTTCCAGACTGTTGGCTGTGTCCTGCTGAGGACAATATGGAAAGCTATGGAATATGAGTCTTGAAAAACCTGTCAAGTTAAATATGCACACTGTTTGCTCAGAAGGAGGATCAAGTTATCTGTGTATTTCTGTGTTTCAATGACAGGGTTATTTAAGGGATAGCAATTGTATTTATTCAGTTATTTGCTGGCTCTTTGCTTTTGCCTTCCCTCTGCTGACATTGGATGGTTTTGATTAGCGTCCTAGGAGGGGAGCCCGTTGCCTTTTGTCCGTTGAGCCTGGCCGTTCCCACTGAAGCCTGATTTCATGTGAGATTGTGGAGTACATCAAAGCAGAAGGATAACAAATGAAATAAATTGTTCTCCTGAGAGCCTGGCTTGTTGGTTCAAAAAATTTGTTTGGCCTTCTACTATCAGCATGCCAGTGTGAGATGAAATGTGAAGACATGGAAATTCATGACATGTAACAACAATGTGTCTCAGGAGTGCCTTTTTTTTTTTTTTTTTTTTTTTTTTTCTCTGTGTTCTTTATGATTGTTTTCTTCTTGTAGTTTTGGGGAGTCTGAGTGGAATTTATTTTTAAGAATGAGTTCAACAAAATACGTATTTCACTTGTTTGGAAGGAGGGAGGAAAAGGCTCATGGTACCAGTCTTTTGGGTTATATTCCTTGTTCTTTATGTAGATATGATTCCTAACACATGTATCATTTCTTGGAGATCAATAAATAAAAGAGTCAAGCTACAAACAAATGCCTTTCTTGCCCCTGCAGGAAATGGGTAGGAGCCAGTGTCCTTTTCCTGGTTATTGTATTAGGATTTTTGGGGATTCTTAGAGATATTCATCTAGTGTAGGCTGCATTTCCTCCTAACATCTTCCTTGATGGTTTGTGGAGATGGGGAAGAAAATTGAGCTCTTGACCTTATCGTTCATGGTGGAGAGTTTGCAGGCGCATTCCATGTACCTGAATAGATAAACAGATGGAGCAGGCTGGGACTCCCCTGTACCTGCCCTGAGCATGCAAAGGGCCACGACGTCTCCTCAGCCCATGTAGGCCTTGCACACACCTCCTCCATGTGAGGACCAGCAAGGGTCCCTCAGGGAAGGTGGGGGAGAAACACTGACTAGAACTTTTATTCTTTTACACCCTGATTGCTCGACATTTATAATGAGGAGACAGGAACTGTGGTTCTTGGGAGAAATGGCCAAGTGTGGTCCAGTGTGACTGGCCTCAACTGGACTGGCTTTTGTCCCTTGCTAGGCCACAGGAAGAGCCAATTTCTGAATCAGGAACAAGGCATTTTCTAGATCACTTATTATTACATGGCAGATCAGAGGAAAAAAAAATGTTGGCCTTCTAGTCAAGTCATGAAATTAAGATTACTCCAGCAATGTATCCCAGTGGCAACACTTATCTTCATTCACACTCCTCAGCAGTCCAGCCTTTACATGGGTCACCAGAGCATCTCTCCGCGGTATTGACTGTAAAGAGGGAAACCTCCACTGCCCATATCCAAACTTCAGAGTAGTGTTTAAAACAGGCATAGCAGAGGTAATGGGAAAGATATTATTGATTTTATGTATTTAAATAGAGCATAGTCAACTTGACAATGCCTCTTTAAATAATTGAAAAATCTGCTTCAGCTGACAGTAGCTCACAAGATAACGAGGCTGGTTGTGGAAGAACATGAGTAATTAGAGAGTGGGGATTCTTGCCACATGGAATTGACCCTTGGGGGCTTGAAGAAAGCAGGATTTGTGGCTGCTCTGAAATGCCAGTGGTCTGGTCCAGCATTCCTCTTGTCAATACGAACCTTGTGTTTTTATTGGAAACACGTGTCAAAACAAAACAGTGTTTGAGGCTGCTGCTGAGAGAAGGTGGGCAAGTCCACAGACAGCCAACCTGTTTTTTCTGCTTGTTTCCAAACATACCATGCTGCACTGCCCGTCACGTTCAAATGGAGGGAAAGATGGTAAGCACCTTCAGCATAAATAATTTGCTGCTATATGGATATTTACAGATAGAAAAATATTTTACGCTACTGATTCTGCTGCTATTTCTTCCTTCATGATGCAATTTCCACTCCGAGATTTAGAGGAATCAGAGTGACTGTGGCGTTCTGCTATACCCTGATGAGGCCCAAATTGAGAGTTTATATTAGGGTTACCCCCTGAAGAAGAGCTATTGCAGCAAGACAGCTTTGAGCTTTTCTGGATGAGCAGAAGAGTGTTTGGAGAAGACCTGCCAGTCCTATGTGATACTTCGCTCCCTGTGGGCTGCCAAAACAGTTTGAAAACAGTGTAAGTTATGAATCTTGGAACTGTTACCTGCATCACAGAAAAGTCAAAGTAAGGAGGTGAGAGTCCTCATATATGATGATTAAAGAAATAAGTAATTAGGTTTAAAATAAGTAATTAGGTTCGCTAATTATCTTTTTCCTGATTTAAAATGATTTTGTTGGGCTGATGTTAAAAATCTGCCTCTTTCTTGCTCTCCTCCCTCACCTACCTCCTAACATGGTTTTACTTGGTGGGTAAATGAAATGATTTGGGGAGATAAAGAACCCAATTTGTAATGTGCTTTAGGAGCTTTCAGAATGAAAACCAGGGATTGATGCAGTGTGTTTAGTTTTGAGGGTCTCAATATTTCTTTCCCTTGATCTACCTGTCCTGCTGTGTTGTCAGATCTTCACAGTCCAGATTTAAGGCAATAATGGTGAAATCTGGAACATGTGATTGCTGTTTAGGCCCCAAACCGTCATATTTCTGGACTGAATCTAAGCCTAATTGAAAAGGCAAGTGGATATCTCTAGCAAAATAAAACATGGCTGTCATAGGCTTTACCAAGTTCAGTGTAACACAGAAGAATGCACTCTGGCATCTATGTTTGGTTTCTGTTTAAAACATAAAATTAAAAACATATTTTTTTCTGATGTATGTTTTAAGTATGATTTGCAAACCAAAAATAGAACTTGCCAGGCCTCCAAGGTCTGGCCCTTGTGATGCCAGGAAATAAGTCTCCTCTCACCTTAATATCATCGCTGCAACTATTTGTGCTTGCCTGCTTACATACGTTATGGGCTGTTTGTACAGTCGTCACCATTCCTCATTGCACCTGTGATCCCTTCGTATGTATTTCCTATCATGCTCGAAGAGCTCAGGGAATCAAAACTATTTCCATTGCAACCAAGTTTTGGATTGGAGCAGGCTGAGAGGCTTTCCTTTGAGCCTCCCCTTGCCACAAGCACAAATAGGTTTGAGCTGTACTGTTTGGAAGGCTGAAATGTCCCAAAACTTTCGGGAAAAACAAAACAAATCTATTTCCACCTTTTGAGATCTTTTTCCATCACCAGTTATTTCAGATGTATTTCTCTCAGTACATATCCATTTCCAGTTTCAAAATTGCAAACAGAGGGCAATTATTTTTTTAGTCAATACTTCTCTTTGTTAGTTTGAACCACTACATGACTGGAATGGAAAATAAATTCAATTATTAATTAATTTCAGAAGATTAATTGATTCCTTCCTCAAGAGAGATCTCAAAACCAGATGCCCTGACTAGAAATCCACTTGTTGTGGTCTTTGGCTGATCCCTTTGGTTTCATTTGTGTCTGGTGCATTTTAGTGCCCTCCATGCTGACAGAGCAAAGACTCTGTCATGAATCAGGCTTGTTCAGGGAAAGGTTACTGAGGTGGAGGAAAAAACAAACAAAAAAAAAGACAAAAAGATAAAGCAAAAAATCTGGAGATCCTAAAATTAGAGAAAAAAGATCTGATAGCAGGCAGACAGCTCTGGATGGCTCCTTCTGAAGGCCTCATCTGTGAGCTAGGAATTGGCACAGGCAGTCCTTGGCTTACAAGGAATTATAAGCACACCCTTCTCGCAGCGGTGGCACAATTGTTTTGAAACTAGGCAGATCTTCTGTGTTTACTATTTGGCAGGTTCTGTGTTTTTGGCTGGCAGCCACGCTGAAATGTGTTTAGTTTTAATTGACAGCCATGGTCAACACTGCAGATCCCAGGTAGGTACTGCTAATCCTGACAAGGCAGGGCAGAAACAGCAGGCTTGCTTTCCAGCTAGCTAGAGACTCTTTGTTTTTGGGAAAGCAATGGCACTTTGCTTCTAGATAACTCACCCTTAGGAACCCAGCATCCACCTTCGTGACCTGCCTCACTGCCTATTTGTAAGCAGCCCATGGCCACGTGCTGACAGCTGTTGCAATAAAATGTTTTTGTTATCAACTCTTATGCAAGGAGTAATCAGTGCTAGTAGCCTTGCATGAGAGAGCTTGTTGGAGCACAGACACACAGAGTTGTGTTGTTGTTTATTTATTTGAGGCTTGAAAGGAAGAACAGTTACACACAGACCTGCAGTTTAAAATATGAGCCATTACAAAAGTGCGTATGGTTAGATTGATTTAAGCCACAGTTTGTGATGGTTTAGATTTTACCTCCTAGTCCTTGTGAGAGAGTTTCAGCCTTGCTGTTGAGAGAGAAAGACGGTAACAGAACATTTGCAAAAGTAAAAAGAGAAGAATAGCATATGCACAGACTTATGATGGCTTTGGTCATGTCATCTAAGCAGAGAGAGCAATGATTTCTGTGAACCACAAAAATGTTAGTTCCAGCTGGCATAAAATTCCACCAAGTAATGCTTGTGACTATCTCTCAGTCCATCTGTCTCTCTGTCTATCTGTTGTGCCTGTATGCTTTATTATAAGTGGTGCATTCCTCCTCATGTTATTGTCTTCCTTATAAGATAATTTCTCAAGGGATTCTTTAACTTTCCCCTGAAGTGACTTACATTTAATGTGGCTGCATTGCAGAGCTCTGTGGTAAAGGAACTGGTATTGATGGAGAAAAGATTGCACCCAACTATCACGACAATGTGCCTTCAATCAGCGTTTAGGTCTCATCCTTATTAAGAGTTCACGCCTCTGACAAAAAACAGGAAACAACATTGAATTAGATACTACCAAAAGAAGATACTGAAGGAAGAGATTTACTGTGCCAGAATGACGAGAGGAGGAAATTTGGTGTGTCAGCTGGGACTAAATGGGACAATTGTTCTATCTCTGTGCTGTGAATTTCCACCATGAGAAAGTAACTCAGATCCTGACTCAGAGTCAGTGACAGTCTCAGAATAGGACTTCACTGAGCCCCCAGCCCCCCGGTGCAATTACTAGTAGTACCTCTGCAGAGAGGCGTCTTTGGTACAGCCCAGCACTTACGGGTTTGGATTGTTTCTGAGAGCTGTGTTTTTGAATCTGGGCAAAGTTGAATAATATCCCCCAGTTGCTCATTTTTAATGGGGCTGTGAGATCAAGGTGAGGACCTGGTCGCTCCAAGCTTAACAAAAAGGGATTTCCAAGAGTGGAGTAGCCCTATTTTCTCCTTCAACAGGTCTTTAAATTGTGCAGTACTCGTTCATCAGCTTCAGACTTTGATTTGGCACTGCTGTGTCGTGTAGACGTAGCAATCACATTCACAAGCCTGGAACTAATTAAAAATGGAATATTTTAGATCAGTCATGGTGAGTGTGGCCAGATTTACAGGGAGAATACAAGGGCGCTTAAGGAGCAGAGTGATCTAGCTTTTTAAAAATGTTCTTCCTTCAACGTTGGTACATTACCTACAGGCCAGTTGGGTTGGTCCTTCGCAGCACTATCTTTAATGCACCCTCAGGCTGGTTAAAGTGGAGCTCTAAGGGCGTACAGGCGTTTCATGGTTTGCTGCATTCCAGATGCATGGAGAATCATCTTGAAAAATCTGTCTGGCAGGACATCACTCTTTTTCTTCTTTTTTTCCTCTCATTTTTAAAGAGGGCATGGTTGCCAAGCTTATCCATCACTTTAATAAGAGACAATGAGTTAAAGGCAGTGAGGATAGATAAATCAGGAAAACAGGACAAAAACATGCGAGGAGATAGATATGGCTTCATCTAACCCCATTTATCTGATACCAACGCAGCCTGTAGCAGGCTCATCGTAGGTAACACCATTATATAAAACTTGGAGACCCAAGTGCTTTCCATGAGCCTCTCCAATCCTATGAATTCAGTCTGTGAATGCCTGAGGGGGCGGCTTACCTGCAGACAGCACTACAGGGTCTTTGGGGAGAAGAAACTGTCCACGGAGCAATTACATGCTGGGTCACCATAATTTTCTCCTTGCTCAGCTCACCACTTCCTAGGTTTTGCTGCCAGCTCTGCACCTGCTCCTTGCTGAGTCAAGCTGGGAAACAAAGAAAAAACATTTCTTTCTCCTGCAGAGTACTCAGGCTCATTAGGGATGAGTGCTTTTTCTCATTGCACTGCCAACTGGTGTGCCAGGACACCAGTCGTACGCCAATTACACCGCTCATCACAGGCCGATGGCAGCATCCAGTTCTTGTCACCACTGCTTTTCATCACCTGGTCACCTCCCAAGCAGCAACTGACTGTAGGTTTCTGGGATAGGGATATCTTCAGCATGTGCAGGCTCTCCGATGGGCTGTTGGATTAGCTCCTCCTTGGGAGATTGCCTCAAGTCAAATAAAGTAATGGCAATACTAAGGCTGTGCTCTAGGCGTTCCTGCTATGGGGAACATGGGAAGCTTACCTAGAGGCTGCCATTCAGCTCTGGCAGTCTTTGTATGATGCCCAGGTGGCAAAGCTGCTTGCTGGTTTGTATACGGGAAAGTGATTTTTCAGTCTTGGTTTCCTACAAGGAAAGGACATGGTTTAGTGATTGGTCTATGCTTGGACTTGATGGTCTTGAAGGTCTTTTCCAGCCTAGATGATAATATTAATCTAAAGTTGATAAGCAGAACATTTAGTATCACATAGTGATTTTTTTTTTCCCCTCCTTTTAATACCAAAAGCCCTTTAAAAGAACAAATTGTAGGTGAACTGGTAATGTGCTGACTGCAAGTAGAGGCATGGTGGAGGGTGAATGTGTGTCTTTGGTCATTTGCACCCAGCTATTCGCCCCGAGGAACACTGTCACCAAAAGGCTCTGTATGGTTCTTCTGAGGGTTTCCAGACAATTCCCTCAGTCAATCACCCTATCCTAAAGAAGAACAATAACAAATCAACTTTTCTTAAACATAGAGAGGCACGACTTACAGTCTCTGCAATGGATTTTTTGCTACCATGGCTTGTATTACCATTAAAATGATTTAACTGGAACCTCTGCTCGGCAGCATTATAGGTGACATGTTCCCTAGCTGCGGTGTATCCAAACAGATTGTTGCGAGGCCTTAAATAAACATTTTCTAAGTCTAGCTCTGAAGCAATTTACATCAAGCAGCATTTATTTCATGGGTGCTAACTACTTCTTGTGTATTACTGACAGAACAGGCAATGTTTTCTATCAAATCTGATGGGTGTAAACAGAATGCCTATTAATAATGTGGCACGGAGCTGACTAAATGCAATATTTATGGCTCATGCATATGAAAGTCTCATAGACAGTTTGCTTATAAAGAGCAAATGAATCTTGCAGTTAATGCTTGAATTTAATAAGAGAACAAGGATAATTCTAAACATTTTTCTAAAGGCATACCTATCCACACGCATTCATTCCTCTTGTAATGTGAAGAATTGATGCTTTTGTCAGAATAGGCTGAAGGCAAAGCTCACCAAAGTAGGCCCATCTGTCGATTTCAAGAGGTTTAGTGCCAGGGTCAATATGATGTAGGAAGGAATTAAACTGAATCATTCAAAACTGAGCAAAAGGAGCAAATTCCTAGGTTCTTTAGTGGTATTTTGTGTGTGTGTGTGTGTGCGTGCGTGCATGTCACTGTGTTAAAATCCTGAGTTCACCGTGGATTTCAGTGCTAAGTTTCAACTGCCCTGAAAGGGAGCAGGACCAGGTCTTGGCCTGCGGTGTGCTAAGCACCTTCAAGCTGGACCCGATCCAAACCCCAGGTCTGCAGAAAGAAGATGGAAATTTCATGGAGCTTCAGTTCAAATATTCTTGCTAATTTGTATGAAAGCAAAAGGAGCAGAGTTCTAAAAACAGCTTCTAACTCTCATTTCTACTGGCACGGCTGCTATCGATCGTGTCCAGAAAGAGGGATGGAAAGACACGACAGAACTGGCAACAGTCCTGAGCCATGGAGTTTGGATCTCAACCCCAATCCAAATGTTGCCGAAGAACAGGGGATTTTTGTATCTGGAGGTTTGATTTAATCTTTAGTACGTGCATGGAAAAATCTGTAGGGCTGGAGGGACTTTTCCTCAATGGGTAAGATATGGACGTTGGGTCTGGGGTGACCAGCTTGGTCAGAAGCCTGGGGAGAGGATGGCCTCAGCAGCATCTGCTGGGGAGTGGAGGGGTCTCCAGCCATAGGAACCAGCAAGGCAAAGGATATTCCCAGCGCTCCCAAACACGGCTCAGCTCAAATGTCTCCTCTAGCTTTTTTCCAGAATAGTCTCCCTTTTTGGTTGTTCAGTCATCTGGAGCAGGTATAGTACTTAAAGTGATTCACGAATGCTCCCATGAATTGGCTGGAAACTTTAGTCAGCGCAAAGGTTTTGGTCAAATTGTGATTAATGAGTTTGGTTAAATTGTGATTAATGATTTTTTTCAGTTATTATTTTTATGAGTTGCAAACGCTATGAACTCTCCTAGCTTTTGTTTTCAACCAGATGTTGCACCTAGAAGTGAAAACAATTTTACTATTTGTTGGTTTTAGTTTGAAGTTCTTCAGTCTCTCCAGTCAAGAAACCAAATTTTTATTGTGTGGTTGAGCCAACTAGTATAATCGTTATTATTAAAATCAACTAACAAAAATATCATAATGTACAATTTGCAGAAAACAACAGCTTGGCAAACATTTGTTCAAACTGTTTAGTAAATATGTTCCAGTAATGAGTGGTTTAGCAGGAAACAGGAGAGAAAAGACCACAAATAAAATCAATATTATTATAAATATTATTTGCCACAAGTAATTTGAAAACCTCTGTTTTCATCCAAAACATTTGCTTTAAATTATATGCTGACATATTCTGGAAATAACTATGATAGACTATTTTTAAAGTAATAGTACACAAAGGATTTTTTTCTTTATGTTCTTTTTCACATCGACAGTTTCTGGTTTCTGACGTGCTAAAATAGACTCGGATAAGGATTTGTGTGTGTGTATGTAGCCACTTTTATTTATTTATTTTCTGGTTTGGACTTCAGAATTGTGTGCTTTGGGGAGCAGGTGGTTTCCAGCACTTGAAGAGATCTGCATGTTAAATGAGTTACAATTTGCTTTGCAGAGAAGTATTGCTACATGTATTTTCATGAAATTCCTTTCAGGCATCTTCTTGGGTTCACTTCCAAAATGTTATGAAAAAGTGATTTGCTTTCAGAAAGGAATTGCTCAGCTAAAAATAATAAATATGTTACAGCTAATGTGGAAACTAAATATGTCAGAGGTGATGTGGAAAACATCAGAGCAGACTGAGCTGAAAGGATAAATGATCTCAAGGAGTCAAATGAAGCCACTGCAGAAAATCCAAATTTTACCAGAGTCAGGACAGCTTGGAAACCACAGATGAAAGATCCCTGCTTCCTGTGTAGGCTTCAGGAGAACCCAGATGCTTTCTGTGGCTTGAGGGAATGAGTTGGTTGCTGCCTGGACAACATATCCTCACACTGCCCATTTCTGGGCTGAGGACCCATATGGCAGTGGTGCCCCAAGTCTTGCAGCCCCATCAGAAGGTGGCAGGCTGTCCCACGGATGCTTGTATAAACTGGGAATGCCACGTTCTTGTAGTTTTGTTGGCAAACACACAATCTTATCCAAGGTGAGCATTTTGTGAAAATGCAAACCAAGAGCTGCAATTTCATCACCACCCTGTGTAACTGGCTGACAGTCCTGGCACTATCAGCATATGGTATTTGTACTGCAGGAGGTCCCACATGGCTAGATGCACTGTCAAATATGTATGCTGTTTTCCTGGTTTTACCACCAGATATCATATTGGCTGAAGGCTGAATGACAGCTCAGATGGGTGTCATCACTGCCTTTGGGAGCATTCATCTTACTAGGCCTCTCAGATCAATTCTCCAGTTTGGTTACTGAAATGAAAATTAAACATCCTACCCACCAGGAAAACTAATTTGAAGATACATTTTTAACCCCAGAGCAATCTTTTACCTGCAAACTTAATTGTATTCCTTTAAGAAGATGTAATTAAGTATCCTCATGGCAGACCATCAGTTTTTACAAAGCATCTCTACAGCAGATAGACATCATTACTAATACAATTCATGGAGGTGCAGGCAGGAAAATAAATTGGTTGTCATTGGGACATCATCAATATAATGAACGTCTGACGTAGACTGTTTGTTTCAGATGGAGCAGACATAGATGAGGGGAAAAATTGTTAATAAGAACAGCAGACACGATGTTGCAGACTGTAGCTGTCTCATGAAATGTGATTTGCTGCCAGCACATCACAGTAAGGAAAGTCTGGTTGACCTGTGAATAGATGAGAAAAATAAAGGGAAGAGACACTTTCAGGTACGTCCTGCAAAGCTCTGCTGAATCACAGAGTTTGAATCTTTGACTTTTTTATTGCATCTCGGTAGTTACTTTCATTTCAGGCAGGAAATTGGTAGTTTGCCTGGCTTTTATTTCCATTTACCACTACAGCAAAATTGAACCTTTGATTTTTTGGAACTATACTGTCTCCGAGAGAAATCAGTAGCTAACATTGTCATGCAGACGCATACAAAGCAGAGCTGGTTCACATTTTGCAAAGCCTTCAGGGGAATTTTGACATGCAGAATGAATACCCAAATGCCCTAGGCTGCCTCAGGGATTTCCGGCACCATCTGCAGGATGCTGGGGAAAAATTCCAGTGTTGAAAACAGCTGAAAATGTTCCATGTTAGTGTCCCAGCTCAGCACTCTTTAGTCTCGCTCATCTTACATGGATTTAAGCATGTGTTTGCTGTTAAGGGTAGATGCTAAGTTCAAGAGGAACTCCGTCCTTTCCAAGCAGGACCATAACTCCTCTTCTGACTTGTGAATCATTTGGGAAGTGAACCTAATTTCTTTCAAGCATTTTCTTCCAATATTTGTTAACAAGTTCAGACAGTGTACACTCTTTGATTCAATTCCTATTCATTTTACATGATGGGTGATCTAAATCACACAATATACTTTCCTTTCTCTGTATTCAATGACTGAAACACAATGACAGAGAAATTTTTCACTTTGTTTGCTTGCAAAATCTTTGAATGAAGGGTTGCTCATGTCTCAAAGGGTTTAGCGAAGGGATTTACGAACATACGAACAACAGATCCAAGTTTGTTAGAATGTGTGTGTGCTAAAACCCCACAAGTCAGAAGAAACTGCAAGAAGCCATACCATTAGAGAACATCCTTATGCAACGAGAGCCACTTATTGCTCCATGCACACCTTGAGCTGATCAGGAAGCATAAATAATAAATTTCTCCTCATGAAACTCCTTTGGCTAGAAAAAAGCACAGTAGACAGCATAAAAGCTTATGTGGATCCTGAAAGAGATAGCCAAACCTCAACAAGATCAAAAGTTCAGGTAAACATCCTAACACTCAGATACTAACCTGAATGCCGTCCAAACCCATCCCGGCCATCTGGGCCTGTATTATTAACTTAGTAGTGTCATGTGAAATGGTTTTCTCACAAGGTTTCTGATGCTTCCTGCTGTTTGACAGGCAGGAAATACCATCAGAAGAGCCTTTCTTGCTGTAGTTCATCATGTGCAGTATGAGCGGGAATCAGGAAGTGCAGAGGCAGCGCAAAAATGAAAAACAGCGTGCCGGGCTCGGGGGCAGGGGAGAAGGGATATCAAGGGGAAAAATTAACCAGGTTTGCTGATGCCACCGGAACAGGCCACTTTGGAGAAGCACCAGCACATATGGAAGCAGGCTGGGCAATAATGTTTCCCCATCATTAAGGAGCATAGAGGGATGAGGAGCTATGTTGAAATGAGAAGCTGCAAAGCACTATACAGCTCTAAAACCAATTCTCCTCATAACGATCCTAAATCAGTAACATTAATCTTGATGCTGTTGTCGCTCCTCAGTGTATCTGGCATCCTGGAAAGGCTCATCGTCTGTTGATTTTTATTTATTTATTTTTCTTTTACAGGGTCCTAATTAAACACTGGGCTACCTGCTTGCCTAGGCAGCATCGCCTCACTGCTTCTGGGTGACAGGACGGCAGGGCTTGTCCCTGATGACATATTCAATGGTCTATGGCTGTGCTGTTTTGCTGCAGCATAAGCAAACGGAGAATTCTTTGTGTGCAAGTCTGAGGCTGCATATACATGTGTGTGAACTCTCTAAAAGCAAACAACTAGCCTTTATAAAGCCAAATTCCAAGCAAGTAACCAGCTCAGCAGCTGTGAAAGGTGTCTCTGTGTTTCTTTGTTGATAAAAATGCAACCCACAGTGACTCAAACCTCAGGATGTGGTGGGAAGCTGAGAAGAAAAGAAAGATAGAGAGTGGGGGAGAAAGGGAAAAAAAATCCTTCGCAGGATGAGGAGTTCAGACATGCCAGATTTCTTTGGCGCAGACGTTGCTGTCATGAGCCTCGCAGACGTTTAACGTTTGATTCCCTGCTTGCTTTTCACTTGGCATCAAGGGTGTAGCGAAGATTTTGAAAACAGTATGGCAAAGTGTTTTAAATAGCAAGACTGGTCTGCAAGTGCCATAAACAGCATCTCTTTCATATGCTACAAGTAAATAGTGCGGGCAGAAACCCAGCGTGCGAAGGCTGCCGCAGATCTGTCGTTACCCTGCATCTGCTCCCTGTGACCAAAACATTGATGATCATTTCCCTTCCTCCCCTCTGTTCCAGCCCCGTCTTGAATGCCTCTGGAAAGCAGAAGGCAGCTGCCTTAAGGACAGGAACTTGGTGTGCGGAAAGGAGAATCTAGTTTGGAAGATGAATACTAAAAGTAGGCATTGATTTCCTATCAAAGAAGTGAAGTGTTCAAATTTGCTGTGTTGCTTTCACTTGAAAGGCATCAGGACTACCAGATGTGCTGTGTTCAGATGAGATTAAGCTTTTGGACTTGTTCTGAGGCCCCAAAATTTACTTCACCAGCTCCAGCCAAGCGGCTTAGGCACAGCTTTTTCCCGAAGCAGCAGAAGTGACTTGAAGCTTCGTGGCCTGAGTCTTTCTGCTGTGATTCTGTTGTCAGATATTTAGCTACACAAGCACCATATCAGGCATGAGGGGGGAATGAAGCTATCCCATCACAGATAACATCTAACTAGCAGAACAGATCTTTTTCCTACTGAACATATGTTTCCTTCACTTGCAGTGAAAGAGGAGTGCAGCCACAATAAGAATGAGCTGAGAGCAGAGCAATGTAAGGGTTGAAGAAAACAAGAAACAGAGAAAACTGTGTGAAGGCTGTATGGGCTTGTCTCTAGCATTTACTAAGGGAATAATACAGGATCTCTTGTCAGGTCTAATCAACCTTTTGAGTTGACAGTTGCTGATTCAGCAGTGAGACACAGTGCCTGTTCTCCAGAGGAAGATTTAGGAGCTTAACCTGAGTTTCCACGGCACTGATTTTCACATTGCTTATGACTGAGAATCCAGGAGCTACTCAAACAAGGAACATAAAAGGTAACTAAGAAAAACAAGTCTATTCTCGGTAGACTTACATTGCTACACCTCCTTGATCAGGGCATTACAGAGCCCCATGAATGGAGGAGGATTGAAAATGAATGCTGTGTTGTCAGTGAAGAGAAGTTAGACTTCAAAGTCTTGTTCAGTGCAGGAGCCAAACCAAGCTGCTCAACATCACCATCACTGATGATGCCAGCAGTGGGAGTTCGGTGTCCGTGGGGTAAGGTCTACCTCTGGGAACAAAAAAGTTGCACCCGGGTGCTTTGTATCTCCAAAGAGTTTGAGTAAGGCATGTGAACCAGCCCTGGGTGGCTGTAAAGGACCAGGTACAGGAATAATTGCATTGTTGCTCTCTGGGTACCTCACCAGTCACTGAGACCTGAAATAAGGCATGTGTCGTGGTCTTTATTGGCCAATATTTCAGAGAGACTGAGCGTCCCCAGGGACTGCTCACAGTGGGCACGGGGAGGGGTGCTGTGCTGTTTCTTTGCTTTTGGCTCAGCTCTGAAGCACTGTAACCACATTTTACAAAGCTAAATGAGAAATATTAATTCCAATATCAAAGATTCAAATATTCCTATGTTCACATATGTATACATGTACATGCGTGTGGATGCACCACATGGATAGTACAAATCTGTGAGTTAATTGGTGCATTTCCTGAATGACTGTGGTTTTTTAATAGTGCTAGTCCTTTATCTCCACAAATGAATAACACTGTTAGATCTGATCTCTAATTATATTCTGAAGACCAATAAACCCCTGAACCTTTCTGGATGTCTTTAATTAGAATAAAATCCAAAAAAAACAACCAAAAGAAAACAACCAGAGCGGTTGCTGGAATCTTGCTATGGATTTGCTGGTGGTTAGGAGCAGAACTGGGTGAACTAGTCATGGCAAATATCTCATCATCTGAGACCTTTCTAACTTTTCTCAGCATCCTGAAAACAGGTTTTATTTTTTGTATATGTTTATATTCTTTGATTATTATTATTATTTTTTTTTTGATTCATAGTTTGTATAAACATGTTCCAGCACACTGGCTGGTAGTAAAGTAATTCTTAGCTGTATGCGGGGCTGTTAGTGGTATTTGTGTGACATTCAGTAGGTCTTGTAAATCAAGTGCTTTATATAAACTGTATATGCTTATACGTGGATAGATGAAAACATCATAAAACACGAAAATTCAGAGACTTTTAGGTGATCACATAGGCATTTGCCTATGGTGTCACAAAGATGTGAGAGTGGGGGGACAGCATGACTTAGTGTTATTTTACTGAGAAGGAATGTGTGTTTTTACTCCCTCATAAATGTTTGGTGTTTTTTTTCTTTTTTATTATTTTTACAAATTTAATGTTTTAGCTCACATTTGATGATGTACTGAGTGTTGAAAGATACTTTACCTTTCCTCATTTCTCGTTCTGTTGATTTGCATAGGGACAAAGTAACCTCTTGCTGAAATGTATCTATCTCTGGGGAGAAGCACTACTATTTAACTCAACTGCAGAAGCAAAAAAGATCTAGGCCTTAGACAAAGAAGCAAAACCAGGAAAGAACTGGATGGAAAAGACTTTGACTTGGGAGCGAACTCTTCAGAAAGTATCATGAGATCTTCAAGAAAGCAGAGGAATCGGAGCTCATTGCATGTGAATTGTCTGAACTGCATGTGAGCTTTAAGGACTGCAGTAATGAAAGAATAAAGTGGCTTACAAGCTACATCAGCCCTGGAAAACAAAGCATTTCACAAATGGTTTCATCTTATTTGACTTGTGATACCCAACAGTGATGTGCAATTACTTCTTGTCCTAGTTATTCTGTTGTACCTGAGCCATGAAGTTTTCACTTTAAGCTTGGTTAAAGAGTAAAACAAGGGAATGCAGCTGTTTCTAAATTAACCCTTAGCAGGGTTTTCTCAGCCTGTTTTGGGGGGGGGAGTTTAAATGTTTGCCTCAAGGGCTGAAAACCTATTTTTCAGGCTGTTTAACTTTTGTCATTCTCAGTGCATCTGTTCAAATTAGCTTCAGACAGTGAAATAAATAAGAAATATTGCCCAAGGGTCCTTGGTTTTGTCAGAAAGGACTTTGAAAAAAAGTGGAGAAGAAGAAAAAATAGAAACCTGAATCAAGAAGGCCTGCTGAGTCCTTTTCTGACAAGAAATCAAAACTGACTGAGGTTAAGTTCATTTGATTATTACAAACACTCCAGTGTACAAGAAAACCTATAATTTGATGACACTAGATTAAACATTCAGGCCAAGATGTGGTGTGAACCACCCCAGGTTTGAAGCCAAAGTTTCAGCAAAGAAAAACTAATGCCAGGTACGTCTGGGAAACAAGATCAGAGAGGAGACAAAGAAAAGACGAAGGGAAAGAGATTTCCTGACAGTATAGAATGGCAAGGTGTAACTGTGTCTCCTCATGTTCTGAAATCTTCCCTGCTGCCCATGGTTTGACTCCTGGCAGGTTGGCAAGGCCTCTGTTTGCAGCAGATGAGAAGCACAGGATAACTCATGTGCTGGCCTCTCCCAGAAAGTGAAAGGTCTTGTTTAGGAGTTCTACGTATCCTAACCAACTGACCACCAAAAAATCTTCCTGAAAATGAGCAAGGTGAAGGGAGATCCGTAGAGCTGTTGCTGTATCTTCTGCCTACATCTTCCGGCCCTGCCAGCGGAGTGGTGCCAGCAAGGCTCAGGGCCTCTGGCAGGGCAACTGCATTTCTCCTTGTCTGTGCATCAGTCCTGCCTTTCTGGGTGTCTGTCAGTGACCACCTGGTAGTGCAAGGCACCCTTCTGTGGCACAGATGAGCACATGCCATGAATAAGCTCCTAATTAAATATAGTGGTTAAGGAGGATGATTTCTGATAGCAGTTCTTTGCAAGCAGCAACCTGATGTGACTTCCTGCCCACAGTCTGTTTCCATTTTCACTCCAGTAGTTTATTTCTTTCCCTCACTCACATACTTTCCTAAATGGTCTTTGGTACCAGTTATTTAAGTCACACGTTGTTTCATGTATTCTCCAAGTGGATGAATTAAACTGTTATCAACAAGAGGAGCTTATCTCTTCTCCTTTATTCATCTGGAGTTTGCTAATACATCCATTACCCTTATATCACAGAAAACAATTAACAGACGTGTTTGTTCATAAAAGAATTGGTTTATCTTAGTTAAATTCTTGTATCTCATAGCACAAAGCTCAGCCTGCACACCTCCAGTCCAGAGTCCTGCAGCAGGTAAAACATCCTTTAGATCGAGTGGGAAAGGCATGCACATAAGTGACGTCATTTCAAAAATTATTCTGGGTGGCAAATGTTTCTCACTTTCACTTATTTTTTTATTTGTAATTTTTTTCTTCTAAATGCTAAATGAAAATATATCTAAAATCAGCATGGAAATAGTCAAAAGAGGCATGAGCCTTGTTTTTGTCTAATTTACATCTCCGGGATATTTTGTGAGAAATAAAATGCATTTCACAGCTCCCTCTGGCAAGCACTGTAAGTACAATTAGTGTTTCTAAGTATAAGAATAATGAGGAGAAGGAGGATAATAATTGTGGCAACTGGTTCCCCCCCATTTTCTTCTGGAAAAGAACTGACTGTAACAGGATGAGCTATCTGTTAGACCTCCTAGATTTATTCCTCTCTCAGAGGTAAAATAGGTCAATATTCCATTATAGTCCAAATATTATTAACTTTCTTTCCCCATATATTTTGATATTTCATTGAAAAAGCCCTGTGAAAATCAAAATCAATCTTCAGAAAAATTACTCATTCCAGCTGTAATTTTTAAAGTTTTCTTAATCCATATTTTATTTTTATTTTTTTCCCTCCAGGGTTCCTTGACTCCATGTGCTTTGCTTTCTCAACAGAAAGAAAAAAAAGAAAGAAAGAAAGAAAGAAAACAAAAGCTGAGGACTCTAAATGGAAGAAAACAGCAGATTCTAGAGCTTGTGGTTATTTTTACTGAAAAAAAAAAAATAAAGTAACATATTTCCCAAAACAAAATATACATTGCTTTTATATTTATTGCAATGCCTGTCCCTTTTTGACAAGAGCCACTCAGGAAAGGTTTATCTATCATGGAATTTTGTTGGAAGCTGTATATTCAACCATTTTTCTGTGTATCTTAGCCCTTTCTTTGGGGCAAAAAAAAAAAAAAAAAAAAAAAAAAAAGGAGAGAAAAGAAAATAAAACATCAAAGTGCCAGTGTGCGGGGGTATTTTCTGGGTAGAGCAAAGCTCTTAGCAGGCAGCCACATATATTAAACCAGAACTGCTATAAATGTCTTGTCCATTTATTCTGATTGCTCTAACACAGAGCATTCACTGTTTTATGCCGCCTTTTCTGACAGAAGAGAAACTGCAGTAAAGGAAAGAAATTTCTTCCGTCTGTGCCCAAGGTTAAGGCAATCTGTAGGAAAGAATGAAAATGACACAGAGAAATGAGTATCTCATTTCAGCAAGGTCCGAATCATTATCTGCAACATTTTGGATGATTCAGCATGTTTTGTGTCTTTTTTTTTTTTTTTTTCAACACAAGGGTTGTTTCTGTCAGAATGAAAGCTGGAGGAGCTGAGCTTATTAGTACCTCTCACATCTTTCTCTGCCACGACTGAAGCTGCAGGCGTGATTTCCCTCTTGCTGGCTCTGGGATAAATCAGGTGCAGGGGTGTGGGAGGTCCAGCAGTGGAGAAATGCTTGTGGGAAACTGGGCTGAGAAGAAACCCATCCTTCACTTGGAGTTACATGAATCTAGAGCTCCACAGAAAGCTACTTCAGAGGCTGAGGATTGGGAATAATTAGCACATTTAAAAAAATCCATAAGCAGCACAGCTACTTTTCAGATAAAAGGATGAATTTTTGGGCTAATGGCAAGGGCAATGAATAGAAGGAAAACAAATAATGCCGCAAAAAAGAGCTCCTTCCAGGGAGCAGCCTTTCTTCTTTCCCAGCTTGCGCATGGAAATCTATTGCTCTTCACTGGAAAATAAAGCTGTGAATGCATTATTAAAAAGCAGACCGATCAATGTCTTAACCTTTTGATTTAAACATGAGAGCAGAATTTTTAGAATTAAGAATATTAATTGTTCCACTGATATGTAATATTTGTTGTTTAGGGTCAATGGTTTGAAAGTGGTCTCAAATTTTTTAGTAACAGTCTACTTCAGAGGCAATTAATTATAAGCAAAAAATGGATGCAAGAGGGGAGGGAGAAAAGGAACAGCTGGAGTAGATAACAGAAAGAGAAGGAGGAGGAAATAGAAAAATACATAAAACCACATTTGCTATAGAGGAAACGAGGAGAAAAGCATGAACTTGGGTTCTTTGAAAATATTCTTGCTGATAGGAACCTGGAATTTTTATTCACCAACATTTCTTTCTCCAAAGGTATCCTCTTTACTTGAAATCTCAGTATGTTACATAAATTATCTCTTAAGGAAGCTTCATTCTCTGCTCTTCCCCCAGTCATGTGGGACACCTAGATTTTACAAAAAGGAAATGAAAACTCCATAGCAGATACCACTGATAATACACAAAATGATAAAATCACATTTTCATGGTTTTTTTTGTGTTTCCTTTTCCTTTCTGCCATTTTCCCTTTGAGATTCTCTGAGGGAGGGTCAACAGGGACTTCCCTTGAATAGCTGCTAGTGGCTAGAAAAGGTAGTGCAGAAATGATCACAATCTGGACTGCCTCTTTACTTTGTGCTTTGCCTGTGCTACAACTCGTGTTTATGGAGTTAATCCTTCTGTTGTGGACATTGTTTGTCAAGGAGGGTTTCACAGGAGCCCTCACCATCCCAGAGCTGTGTAGCGAACTTTCAGGCAAAATCAGTTCTGGAGATAAAATGGCAGACACTTCAAACCGTTGTTTGAAAACTGAGGCTGGGGTCAAAGTTATAGGTAAAAAAGCTTAATGAGCTGCTGAAAGATATCCCCCAAGGGAAGGAGATCCTGTCCAGATGAAGAGGTCACTTCATCTTTAAACCATTGGACGGATAATAACCCCTGGATTTGAGCATCAACACGAGAATAAAAGATAAATGGCACTATTTGACGCTTATTTCCAAATAAATGCAGGTTTGTCATTCACAAAACCTTCACCCTGTCTCAACAGGCAGGTCTTAGAGGGCAATTTCAGGGCAGTTTTCTCTGGTGAGTGTTGGTTCCAGGTTTATGAGTGGTTTTGCTTCAGTTGCTTCAGCATCAACCCATTCAGAGAGCATTCAGGGTTTTGTACTTGATGCTACTATGCTGTGGTGAGCAAAGCTCGTTGTAACAATTCCTCATGTTTTTTTGTAAAGAGACTTCTTTAAGTTAGAGGTAGACCCATGGTGTTTCTTGTGGACTGTGAAGGAAGCTATGGAGGTGTCTCTACTGTGTTGGCACATGCCTGGGAATAACATGAATACAAAGAGTCTGAAGCTCAATTAGCCAAGATGGAAAAGATATCCATTAAGTGATTAAAGTATTTTACTGGTATGCAGGGAAGGACACAGGATTCCGTCTGAGAATGGTTGAATCTGCCCACCTGTGGGCAGGAGAAATGTGAAGATGACCTCCATGCAGCTGAGCTGGAAAGGCTGAAAGAGCACCAGTCAATCTGCAATCAAGCAGCTGAGAGGTATAATTAGCCAGATTAATTAGGCCATAAAGACAGTGGCAAGACGCAGCTTAGGTTTGCTTGGAGGTTGAGTCCCCTGGGGGAGGCTTGGAGGGCTCCTGGGCTGGGACCACCACCACCAGCAGTTGTCCTGCTCAGTCCTGAGGGCAGTTGTTCTTCTAAAAGTGAGTAATTTTGGGAGTTAAGCTCCATATTTGTCTCTGTAGCGGTGAAGGAGCTGCTTTGTTGTCCTTGAGTTGAGGCCTGGTCTGTGTTTACTTGCATGTTTGGGAATTCCTTGGCTGGATTCCTTGCATGGTGGGGGCCAACAGATGTTCCAGGTGCTCCTATCTTATTTCCCTTCATTGGCAATATTGGAACAGGGAAGAAATAGTATCAGCTAGGTCTTTTTTTTTTTTTTTTTTTTTTTTTTTTTTTTTTTTTTTGTGAACTTCCATATGTAGTTGGTATGCTTAGTTTAAGCGTTGACATGTGAAAATCTAAAAGCTGTAGGGGTAGTAGTTTTGAGGGGTCCAGGGCTCTAGAAGATCTTGATGCTCTGCTGAGGGGCCAGTTAGCTCATCTTGTGATCAGAGCTGAGGTTTCATGGTCTGCTTTTCATCTGGAACAGTGGTGGCAGCAAAGGAGGGCTGGGGTAACACAAGGAGGTCCTCGTCTTACTTTTCCAGTGTGTACCAGCCAAGTGATTGATGGTACACCCAGGATAAAGATACGAAGCTGTTTCTGTAGTATTATACTGAAAAACAAATCAGTACATCTGTTCTGTGGAGATAAAGAGAATTTAGTGCATAAATGCATGCTGGTTTCTGGCTTCCAAGGAGCCTAAAGAAAAGGCAAGGAAAAAAAAATAAAAACAAAGCAACACAAACCCTTACAGAGCTCCAGGCTTGTGTTACATTTTGCTGTTTCTCTGCCTCTGAAAGCCCAGCACACCTTCAAAAATTCCTGGCTGAGGTAAATATAAAAAAAAAAAAAGTCTAATTTGGACTTGTGCAGCCCAGTCCTATCCTAAATAAACAGTGCTGCCTGGAATTGCTTGCCAGACAGTTGGCATATCTTGCAGATTAGCTAACACTAACAACAATGTGCTTCAAGAAGAAGAGGCTGAGCTTGGCCTCTGCTCCCCAGCTGGGGTGCCAGCACAGGGACCTGTGCCCATCTGAGCCATACACGGTTCCTCTCCCTAGCCCCAGTTGCAGTGGGGATATTTGCAGACATGGAGCTGCTTGGCCCCAGCCCTGTACCCTGCACAGAGGGCTGCAGGCAGGCTGCAAAGAAAGCGGGGAGAATAATTCCACTACAAATTGCTGCAAGTGTTAAAGCTCCAGGGAGCGGATTTAATAGCTGCCTTCCACTCCCGCATTGGTTTGTCAGGCTCTGGTTTATGGGCACAGCTGGACGATGGTGAGAGAAGGCAGGAAGGGGGAGGCTATACTGCGCTTAAATTTGTGGAAAAATTAGTTTGCACTTGTTTGGGCTTTCCTTTGTGTTGCTTCATCCCTGTAAGGTTAGATGCATGGGGGAGAGCAGTGGGCTGGGAGTGAGGAGCTGCAATCTGGCTTGCCCAGATCAGGAATGTGGGAACCAGCACCAGGCAGGCCTTACACGCTTCGTGAATGGCAAAACAAGGTTTCAGCAGCTTGGTCTGGAATTTGGGTGGCCACATGTAAACACCACGAGCTCAGCCTTCTGGGCAAAAAAAAAAAAAAAAGTTACGACTTCAAGCCTATATTTGCCTCAGATTTCAAATGGTGAGAGGGGGAGGGGGAATGTATAAATGCCAACTCAGCAAAATGAATGGTTCACACAGAAAACCCAATGTTGGCAGTGAAACCTGACTCACTGAGAGCCTCTTGTGTATTAAGTGCATGTGCTGTAGCGACAGAAGAATATCCCTGCTGCCCGTCGTAACAAAATCAAAATGCTACTTATTCAAGTGTTTAGAGATCAAAATGCCAAGAGGAAAGGAGCAAAAATCTACAAGGATGTGAATAAGTGGAAGCTGGAGTTCCAAATATCCCTTTAGGGAGGGTGAGAGGCAAAGAGTGTTGGTGCTTGCTGGAAGCTTAGTGCACATGCTGTGTACCTGCAGAGCAAATCTGAGTCCAGGGCAGTGCTGCAGGGCTGCTAGCACCTCCTCTTGGCATGGGTATTTGGGGCAGCTGCCATCCTGCATGGGTCTGCAGAGCTGGCAGGGGAGGACCTCAGCATCATCTGACTGCTTGTGTGGAAATGCTTATCTGACCTGGCAGGCTCTGCCAAGCTTCGTGTAGGAAATATAAACACTTTCTTGAGGTTCCCAGTGTTTGTTCTCCTCCTGCCTGTCCCCAGTGGCAGGATTGCTCTCTAGATCTCAGAGCTGGTGAGCAAGGGATGCCAGCGGTTGCTTTTGCCAGCATCTGTTCCTCTTGCCTCCAGCCCAGGACATGTGGGCTTTGCATGTTGATCCCCTTTCACGGAGCGGGGAGAAAAGCAATGTGTTCTTGTAATGCCCATGGAAAGGCTCCTGGTGCTGGCTCTGCCCCCTCACTTCTGTCAAATTCAGTTCTTAGCAAGGGTAAACCTTCAGTCTTTGGCTTCTGAGCAATGTAACTTCTCCAGCTCCAAATCCTTTTATTGCTCAGCTGCTGTTGACTGTTAAAACTGGTCAGAAGCTGGAAAACTCCAGTCAAGGGGAAATGTTAGGAACATGCTAAATTATAAGGACACTTAGGTTTGATTGAGAGAAGTAAATTCTGCCTGTTATCAAGTGCAAAACATGCTGCTAGCAGCCAGCCACCCCAAGACCTATTGTAGCCCTGCTCATCAATGTAAATGGAGGATGCTGTGGCGGAGGTGAAGGGGAGAGGCTTCCCTACTCCATAGTTGTGTTGTTAATGTAAAAGTGATGTCTGTAATGTGCCAGTGCATCCTTCAGTCTCTTCCTTCAGTCTGTACTGCCATTTGACATGGGAGGTAAGGAAAGGGTGCACTTATTTTCTGGTAAATTTTCAGATTTGCTTTTGAATGAGGATGTGGTGGGGAGGGAATGGGACCAAAAGCCTTGCAAAGAAAAAATAAAACAAAAAACACCATAACCAAAACACCATAACCCAAACCATATACAGCAAGCTCTGTGCTTATCTAAAACCCCTTCTGACCATTTCTAGACACCTGAGGCTGTGCGAGCTTTCACTTGTAGCAGGTGGCTATAGGGTCGCAGAAAGCAAAACCTTGTGTTGGGACTGTCGCTGCCTTACATCTGTGGAGGTGGAAAGTGTCTTTTGGCTGGCTCCGTCCTTCTCAAAGGGTGTGGGAAGCTTGAGACATCAGCCTTTTATCCCTTGCAGGGCTGCCGAGCAGAGCAGCGAGCATAAGGTGCCTTTCCCCTTCCCGGCAAAGGGCTCTCTCCTGCCCCAGGGGGCACGGTGCGGGCGGCGATGCTGGGGACACACTGCCCTCTAAAGGGGGACCTCGGAGGGAAATGGGAGGCTTGGGAAGCTCTGCTCGGAAAACTTGCCCGTTACAGTCTGAAATTGCTGGAAATAATTTCAAGGAGATCCGGAACCTGCCCGAAAGCATTCATTAACTAACCTTGCAAAGACTCTGAGACGTTTTGAAGAGGCTCAGCCCCGGGAGATGGGCAGTAAGCGGTGTCGGCAGGAGCAGGGTGTCTGCTTAGGGAGTGATCTTGCCCCAAAAACACATTATACAACAGTAGGATCATCCCTCCGCACCGCAAAGGCTGTGCTGCAAAGGAGAAGGAGGCGGCATCTCCATCGGCCAAGTGTGTGGGGATCTCCTACAGCATTTGAACCATTTCTGGTCCTTGGTCTTTCTGCGTTTGGCTATTCTGGATAGGAAGACATCCATGCAAGGAACATTTAGAGCTACGTTAGCAATGCTTATCTAAGACACCCTTACTTTATGAGGTCTGGTTTTTGCAGTTTTGACTGTTTTGCTGTTGAACACCCTCCTAAGGTAAATGGAGCAAATCAAAGTGAACATTCCTGACAAATTAATGAGCAAACACATTAGCGGCTCTGAAATGAAATGCCTTCACATCACATAAATTCATTTCACAGTGTTTATATATTTATGGAAATGTCTTTGAATTATACTCCCAGCTCTAGCAGAGATGATTTCTTCTTCCATTATAAAGCAGGTTATGTGGTGATAACTTCTAGACCCCTATGAGCTACTGGAGCATGTAATTATCTTGTTCCGCTTATTAATGATGAAAGGTCTATGCAAGTCCCAGAGCAGTTGTATGTACTAGGCTGAGTAATTTAAAGAGGCTGTGTAAATTTAATTTAGTCTCAAATTTGGTTGCTGACTTAAAATAATCTTCAAACAAGGAATGTAAATGTTTTGGGGCATTTAAAACTTTTCAAAATCATTGATTGATATGTAGTACTGCAAAGCTAAACGTAGCATCACAGTGCTGACATATCAAACTGAAAAAGTGGGCTGTAAGTAAAAAGCTGACCAGGCTCTACTCAGAAATGTATGTTGCAAACAAACATCAAACTAACACAAATTATGATTTTGGATTTTAATTTTGAAGTAATCTTATTGGTAATGGAAGACACGTTAAAAATGAGTTTCATCCTGACACCCTTGAGAAGTGGCCAATTTATATACTTCTGGGCTGGAGATCTGCAAACCTCTTCTCCCCAACCTTCCTAAAATGGCATCGCTGGTTTTATGATGTCTCCTAGCTATAATCCTGCTTCTACAGTCTGCCATCATAATGCTAATTAGTTCTGTATGTAAAGAAACTATTGTTGACAGGACACTTTCAGTGATTCACATATGACTCATGGAGAGAGAGAGGTTTTAAAAGTGATTTATCCATAAACAGAGATTCCATATGTCCTAATCTGGCATGGATTTCTCGCCTTCTCTTTATAGCAAGGAATGTGTGTATGCCTGTATAGCAGGGCTATAATGTGACAATTTGTCTCGGAGCGAAACCAGGATTTATGGTACTTACTGGAGACCACAGAGGTAAAAACGAACAGCAGGCTGCATTTAATCATCTGAATTTTCAAATATTTCTTTGGCTTGGGTAAATGTGTCTTTGTTCCGTTTTGGGAATGTGTTCAGCTGTAGGATGGGGTCCTGTAAAGTTATCTGAATATCCTGCAGGCATGCTTAGTGGAGTGCATGCAGGGGGTGCGAG